ATGCAGCCTGCCTGGACAGCCCCCACACCGGGTGTTGAGGGAGGTGTCTTCTTGCAATGCCCCTTACGGCAAGGTGGCCTTTTTTATTTCAGCTCAGTCCTAAGCCTGTATTCACAACTTTTCCATAAAAAGCTTGCTTGAGTTTGAGTTATGCTCTTTGTCTCTGTCTCTCGACAGTCACACACTCACTCACAGTCTCCCCTCCCCCAGCAGACAAGTGGAAATTTCCACTGAAGTGCTCAGTGGCTCAAGTGGTGGGGGAGGGGGGACAGGGGGACAGGAGGAGGGGCTGGGAGGATCTGAAGCCAGGAAGCATCTTGCCAGCCTTTTCAAAGGTAGGAGACTAAGGCATCTGAATGCCAGTTCCCAGTCTGCACTGGGCAGGCCTTGCTGGATTCAGGCTTCTCTGAGCTACTCAGGCAGTGAATTATTCACCATAAAACCCAGACACCCCTCTGTGCAGAAAAGCCACATTTCTTTTTATGTCAGATGGGACTCAGACATTTTAAATACCACTAAACCTGCTGCAGCAGCCTTACAAATCTAGGAGCTTGGCCACAACCTCCGCTGCAGAGCTGCCCCGAGGGCCCGCGGGTCGGGGTCAGGTGCTGGCCTGCAGAATGCTGGCAGGACAGCCTGAGAACGCACGCGGAGTGTCAGCTCACTAACGGGAAAGCTACAGCAGTGAATCGGCCTCCTCTGAGCGCGCCAGCACCCTTGGAGTAAGCTGCAGACACATTTGGGAGGGAGTCAGTAAAATTCCACTGATTCACTACAGGGCCGGTTATTTTTATCATTCTGCTTACCCGTAAATAGAAGGGCATCTTCCCTGCCGGCCGGCAGAGCTTTGCAGCAAGCCCCTGTCTACATTTTAAAACAGATGAGAATGGAGAAAGGACCCAGGCCAGACAAACCCCCTGGCAACGTAAGCATCCCCCACACGCTTTAGAGGGGCCCAAGTCAGCCCATCTCCGAGGGCAAGACCAGGCACAGTCAAAACCAAAGGGGCGGACCCTTTACAAACCTGCAGAGGCTGAGATGGGCCCAGGGTGTCTTCCACGGATCCTTCCCTGCACCGGGCTCCATTCCCAGCCTCGGTCCAGCCCCATCTAGTGGAAAGAGAGCCTGGGACTGCAGGCGCAGCCCTGGAGGAAGACCCACAGTGCCTGGCGGAGGGAGAGGGCTGAGACCCAGGGAAAGCCTGCCCGGTTGGCCTGGGTCCAATGAGCATCCCCCTTTCATACTCGAGGCAAGCTGTAAGAATGTTCTACAACCCCAGCTTTGCCTTGCCTGCGGCGCTGACAAGCCCCTGTGAAACACAAAGGAGAGTGGAGGAGCCCCCCCAGGGACCAAAGCAGAATTGAATCCCAGACTTTCTTACCCCCTACCTCCCACCCTGCCCCGTTTATGCTCCAGGGGTTTCCAGGTGCTGCCAGGTAACACAGACGCCACCAGGGTAGCTGGTCCCTAAGTCCCAATTTCTTTCCACCCTGACCTGACCCAAACAGCAACAGGGCCACCTAGTCAACTACTTCCTAAATTCACAGCACTGACGCAGAAGTAACTTCCCCCTGGAAAAAATCTTAGTAAGTTACAGTATCAGACATTCCCATTCCCGATAAAGGTGATCAGGCTCCACCTGCTAGCCGGTGGCATGCAGAGCAGCATTTTTTAAAACACGTTTTTAACAGGCACCCAGCTGTATATAAATGATCTACCCAGTTCTACCCACCCTCCGAGTTCAAGAAGTGTGTGTTCAAGAAGAGTCTGTGGGCCAGTCAGGGGAAGTAACCATCAAGCTGTCCACGGGAAGATAAGTTCCCAGGTTAAAAATAAGAGCCTTCCGGACAAATTGCTATAAACGCACCTGTTTCGCAAGTGGAAACTGACCAAATACACACACGCAACATAATGACCGCATGTCTGAGGTGTAAACCGGTTGACAGACTTGATAACTAATAAATACCAGGCACCCCGCTGTCCTCTGTCCTGACCTGAAGTGCTTCAGCAGCTTTTCTGCCCTCATCTTGTTTCAGGTCCACTTGACCCAGGTGTGGCAGGAGCATGACTCTGGGGGGAGGAAGTCAGGATGGAGCACGGTGGCGGCAACCACCCAACAGGACAGGAAGTCACTGTGACAGAGGTGCTGGCTGTCGACCGGGGCGGATAAAGCCCACTGTGCTGGGCCTGTGCAGGGTCACAGTTAGCCAGATGCAGGCAAGTCCCTAACGCAGCTGAAAATGCCCTGAGATCAGGAGCCATGACACCACTGAGGACCATCCTGAGACCCAGGAATACCCAGGACAAACCATTTCTTCCCATAAAATGTAAAAGCAAAAAACACATACACCAACAGCACCAGGAATACGGTGTGGGTTCTCAGAGAGTGTCCAGCCTCGCTCCCGAGCCAGCTAAAATCCCGCTCTCGCGTGCCATCTGAATCTCAAGCCAGAGCCTTGCCAGAGCAACAGGCAGTGCCCAGGCCTCCAGGACTGTTCTGAACAGTCACTCTCTCCTGACTGCTGAATTCCTAACAGGCAAGCCTACTCCATTTCTTCTTACCAGCTTTGTAAAAGTAAGCTGCCCGGCCCTGAACACACCCTGGCACGTGACGCCTCATTTGTCTGTGATGCTTTCCGTGGCTTCGTGCGATGCACACAGAGAACTTGCCACATGAATCAAATGCCTGGTGCCAGCATCCCCAGGGCTGGTGCCAGGGGAGGACCGGCTGGAGGCAAGAGGTGATACGACTCCCCTCAGGGTTCACCCTGCAGATGCCTGACATCACTCAATCCTCATCTTCATCCAGGTGACCCCAAACCACACCAGCACCACATCTTGTTTACCGCCATGAAGAACAGCGAACAGATGATATTAGGGTAACGTGGTCAACATGGTCAAGCAGAACTGGTAAGCGAAAGCAAAGGCTGCTCACTGACAGGTTTTTCACCATTTATACGCTGTGTGAGTCTCCAGCCAGGACTAGGGCCTGTAGGGATTCCCACATAGGACACGCCCCCACACTCACACACACCACTTTTGGTGGAGCATCTACATATAACTAGTGTTTCAGAGAACACAGTTCAGAAAACACGACTTTAAATAAATAAAAGAGATTTATTATTCAAAAACAAGTATAAAACGAGTATCTCCCCATGGGGGGCTGGGCACCACCATCTCCCATCACCACCTGAAAGACAACACACACCTCCCTGAAGAGTGCGCTCCTACTCTGCTGAGGTGGCTGGAAGTAAATGGCCAGAAATAAAATCCTTTTAAGAAAACGAACTAAGTGGCCAGGCACAGTCCTCGGTGGATGCGAGTCCCTGGACTGGGGTCCAGAATGGGGGGCAGCGTCACCAGTGGTCTGGGCTGAGCCCCAGGCGAGTTCTCCCCAATTCCACCCATAAGAGAGAAACGGCATCACCACAGCCGCCCGGCCAGAGGCCTGAGCAGCACCCAAGCTGGAGCAGGGCTCTCGGGGGCCTCCGGCAGTGCCCTGCTCCCCGGGCGCTGGGCGAGGGCAAGTGCAGGGACGGCCGTCTGACCCTCAGCAGAGCCAGGCCCGTCACTGGGAGGGGGAGGGAAGGTGCCCCCCCCCCCCAACCTTGGCCTGAAGCACAGGCTCCCTCTCCCTGCTCCCCCAGAGAAGCTGGCCAGCAGTGCGTGGCCACATTTTATATAGGCACCTTGTTAAAGAAGAAGGCAAAAGACTCACAGCCTGGCTGTGAAGGCCAAAGCTCTTTGTGGTACGTCACAAAAAAATGTCAGCTACCCCATGTCCCCCTCCCAGTAACGTGCTTCGGAAAGGACTGGCCGCTGTGCTCTGCACGTTGCCTAGCAACGCCTCAGAGCCCTCTTCAGAGGTGTTCTCGAGAAGCCAGCTGAACCCAGCACAAAACAGGGCGCAGCCCGGAAGATGGGTTCTGCAGCTCACACCCCACCGCAACGGGGCTATTGATCACAGAACCGTCCATGGCAGCATCTTCAGGACCACAGTGACCGGTCCCCATGACCCCGGGGGTGGGAGAACGGCCACTGGAGTTCAGGGTCCAGGGGTGGGAGGCAGAGATGCTGAATAACTTGCCTGAGACCTGGGGGTCCTCCCACCCTGGGTCTCCACGGCCTCCCTCCAGAAACCTCAAAAATGAGTTAAGATTCTTCCTTTAAACCAGAAACTGTGGCTACGAAAAAGGAAGATTAGGGCATAGAGAAGCCTCAAATCAGCACAACAAACCGACCTCAAGAATTTTCTATAAGGAGAATTATTACAATAGAATCAAATCCTTGACGTGTGTCTGAGGAAGCAGCCGTAGACACATGAAAAAAAATTCCATGATAGAAACATTGTGGTCACTGGTGAAGGAGGTGAAACACTTTAGTCACAAGAAGTACATCTTTTTTCTTTCTCTTTGTAATGCTGGTTTACAACACTGCATGATTCAGAGGCCTGGGCTCACCCTCCTCAGAGGCATGTCACCACACCCACGACCAAGGCCCCCCAGTCCACCATGGCCCGCTGTCCCCCACCCCCACCCCCAGTAGCCTCAATTTTAGTCAGATGTCTAGGCTTTGCTTCTGGTTTGGTTCTGCCTGCCGGTGTTTGTTTCTCTATATGCACGTGACTGAATCACCTGGCCTTTGCCTTGCTCCTTGCTTCTCATCACCTGCAGCCCACACACTCACTAAGCGCGCACTCACTATGTGGACAAAGCATTGCTCCCTGGGGTGTTTCAAAGGCCCAAGTTAGAGAAACGCCAGGGGAGGACAGGGCTCAGGTGGACAAGAAAGGACCCCCCCCCCCACCGCCCCATCAGAAGCTCAGAGTACTCGGTTGGGCGCTGTGACCACACCCGACTCCTGATGCAACACAGCCAGAGGGGTATAGGACCCTCCCTGGTAACCCGAGTCTGCCTGTGAAACCAGCACCATGTCTAAGATAGATAAAACTCCATCCAGAGCCTAAAGACATTCTTCAAGGGACTCTCGGGGAAACTCACCCTCCTCTGCTGTGCCGCTGGCTGTGGGAGCACATCTTGTAGGGGAGGGCGCGCTCACCCAGGTTCTCCAGGGTCCTCACAACGGCCCCTCTGTCCATCAGAGCTTCCAGCGTGCGTTTCAAAGCAGCAGCGGTCTCTGGCTGGATTGGGTTGTTTTTTAAACAAAAAACAAAAAACACCAGAATCAATGTGACAACTTTCTAGAAATCTTCAGCGTGGTCAGTTCTCTTCTAACAGCCCTATTGGTAGAGAACGCTCGGCAAAAGCAATACAAACTTAAAATTTAAAGAGACACGATGCTAAGGACGGGGGAGCGCTCCCGGGTGCGAAGTGACATCTGCAGAGTGGGCTGGGGCCGGGGACAGCGCCCAGGGGCTGCAAGAGTGGCTCCTCAGGACACGGGTCCGCGCCTCCACCTGCAGGCCCGGCCCCATGACGCCATGACTCAACAGCCAGACTCCGGGGAAGCATGTCCCTAGGCAGGACGGCGGGGCTGTCATCCCACCAAAACCAGATGCTGTCCCCAAAGAGAAACAGGGAGACGATAACCAAACCAGGGAGGACGGGTGCGCTCCACCCTCACGGTGCTAAGGATCTAACCGATGAGTGCGGACATTTGCATGAGCAGGCCGAGGCAGAGCACACATGCCAGCAGGCCGAGCTCGGGCTGAGGCAGCACCGGCTGGCAGAAGGGCTTTAGGAGTGCATCCTGGTAGAGCCGGGGAGACCGCGGGGAACAGCTTAAGGGAACCTGGGGAAGCTGGCTGGGGACTGCGGGGGAGGACACGGCTCAGGATGTCGGGACTGACCCGGCAGGTGTAAACCTGATGCTCACAGCAAGGCGGGTTGGAATTACACACTTCACAGTCACCTGCGCAGAGGGTCAGCAGGAGTGGGTGAGAACCGCAGGGCGCACAATCACGTGGGGGTTCACAAGGGCCCAGGAGTCCAAGAAGCCAGCAGAAAAGGTACTGACAGGACGAGGAGAAGCAGGCATGTCTCCAGAAACAGGGGAGAGAGGCCTTCGGCAGGGTGGATGCGAGGGAAAGGCCAGGCCTGGCGAGGCTCCGGGGCAGAGGCGTGAAGTAGCCCAGAGAAAGCGCAGGCACCAGAGCAGGGGATCCGAGCGGGAGCGATGTTTCAGGAGAGGCAAGACAGAGCGAGCTGGTAGGCAGACTGCAGACGAGTTGAGTGGAGAAAATACAAGATTTTTACAACAGCCAGAGCAGGGTGCTGTGAGCCCCGCCGGCGGCTATGCCCCCGCTCCTCCAGGGCGCTGGCACTGGGCGACGCCACCATAGACGAAACAAGCCAAGGTGGACAGATGTGGTGACTGGGAGGGCCACGGCGTTGAGACTCCGGGGCAGGTGATGTATGGGAGAGCGTGATGCCAGGGAGGGGACACTGACACAACTGGGTGGGGGGTGGGAGGCTTGGGGGGTGACCCAGGCAAGGAAGGAGTCCATGCAGCTTAAAGACCCGGGGAGGGAGGCGGGTGGAGAGGCTGGGGCTCGGGGCGGACCTAAGGAAGGTTCCCAAGAGCGCGCTCGGATCAGATGAAAAGAGACAGTGCAAGGAAAGCTGAAGTCTGCCTTCCAGGAGCTGAAGAAAAGTCACCTTTTCTGTAAACTTGCTCCTGATGAACACAACTAAGATGCTGTGAATCATTCAGTCCCAGCTTCACGGTTTAAAAATGACATTTCACTTTCCTTTCATATCATGGCCCACCATGGATTTTTAAAAAATTCTCACTGAAAATTACAGATTTATGTATTTAACTAACCTGATTAAATAGAAATTTTCTGAAAACAATAAAAATAGGGGCCAAAATCTCTTACACGGACACTAAGCAGGTAAGAAGGCAGCGACAATGCCTCCTCGTCACAGCAGGCGGGCGTCTCTGCACTTGTTCTGATCAACACAGAGACGAAATTCTCCTCAAATCTCATGAGTTCAGACATTCCCATGTTTCACAGAAGCGCCTCGACTAACACCAGGGTAGGATTTCGCTTCCCTGAAATGGCTGTGTCTTGACCACTGATGTCTTGTGCATCAGTTAATGCACGCTAAGAGGTTGAGCAGTACCCAAAGAGAGAATGAATGAGCAAGGTTAAAAAAGAAAACCAAAACACCCTGATTGACTACAGTCTTCTGATTATCTTTCCAAACCATAAATTTTAATTTCAATTTTACCTGATTAAAAGGGAATCTATTTCAATACCTCTTCTCTTGTTTAAATTCCAACTCAAGTGCTCACAGTTTGAAACATGGAGACCCCTTTTCTGAAGTCAGAGTTAGTGAAATAAAAAGATTTTCTTCTGTCCAAAAAAAGGGAGGAGCTACCTGCCAAGAACATAGGAAAATATCAAAACACACCGTTTGACTTCGGTAGAAAAGGGCCAAATCACAGACTGCTTGGGTAGCCACATCTGTTTCACTATAATCTCAAATTATACAAGAGTTTAAAAAGAAAGATGGAGGAGGGGCATATATATTTCTTGATTATTAGGGTGGCTCCACTTGTGCCACATCCCTGGCCCATCATGCCGGGTCGGCACACCTGCACCCCTGGGCCCTGTTTTCTGCAGACACAGTTCTGTCTGCACACAGGAGCTCACGCGTTTCCGGGCGCCCCTGGTGCAGAACGCGGGTCTGTGATTCCGGCAGAGGCAGAACAGCAACAGAGTCCAAACTGTACGGTGCGGCTGACCTCTGCCCTATGAGGACAGGGTGAGGGAAACCAGCAGGGCCTCAGTGCACCACAGATAAAACCACAAGCCGGTCACCCAGGCACAATGGAGTCCCCACGGGCTGAGTCATCAAGTGAACTCCCGGGCTCCAACCTAGTGAACATCAACCTGGCTGTTCAGGCTCGAGGGCTCGCAGCAAGTCTACGGTCCCCACCGCGGAGCCCCTCACCTCTCATCTCAGGTCACCAACTGCAGTGTTGCTCATTGGGTGAAACCCATGGATACTATTAGGGTTGCGAAGCTTTGGGCAGGAAGAGATTTCTGCTCAAGCCCTCGCAGCGCTCAATGAAAACATGCAGCCGACAGAAAACAAGTGACCTTGCCGCCCCAATTCTCATTTACTAGGTCTCAGGACCACTGAATTCCAACTACTCGAAGAGGAGCGGTACATGCTTAGGGGCAGCTTCTGAAAGCAGCTCCCAAGACTTCCTTCCAGGCCGCCACGTGTCACTGAAAGCTTGAAAAACCTAAGGAAAATCAATAGTGCATGAGAGTGAGCGGGAACCAGGGAACTGGACTCCACCTCAAGTTCGTTCACTGCCCGTTCTACAGCTCTTGAGAAATGATTCCAGTTCAGGACAGATTCGGGTGCCTCTGGCTGAAGGCAGGGACGTGCCTGTGAACCTTAAACTGGGACTCGGCTTCCACGAGTAGGCACCCACGAGAGGACCCCTGCAGCGGGCCCACACCGCGCCACCATCACCAGCACTGGCATCAGAAAGGTCATAAACAAGTTCAACGACTAAGCTACGCAGCAGGAAGGCATCTTGACTGCCTGAGCCCCAACTCTGTATGAAGGTGCAGAGATTAACAGGGATTGTGCAGTCACCCACAAAGCAGTTTTGTTCCTTAATCCACTTGTTTCTGAGGTCTCAAGTCAAGGCCCATCATGCAGATGTCACAAAGGCAAATTTGGGGGCTCATTTGCATATGACCCACCGCTCCTTGACCTTGGATTAAGTCGAAGGGAAAAGGAGGAGCCAGCAGGGTGCCCCTGCAGCTGCTGGCACCTGGGAGCCTCAGCGATGGGACGTCTCTGCCTCGATCCCAAATACTTCAGTTCAACCGGCCTACCCCTCAAAAAGTTTTGGGCGCAGGCATTGTTAAAGGTCCCCAGCTCTTGCCGACAAATGTGAGAACCAGGAAGTTGGTTGGCTTCTCGTCATCACTCCAAAAACGAATGATTGTGGCCAAACTGCAGTTCACAAGTGATTTTCAGCAATGATCTCCTCTGACTCTGATTTAAGGAACGAAAGACTGCTTCCCTGGTGACGACGGAACCCTCTATGTAGACGAAGCAGTGAACTCCCCTCCCACCAGGCTGCTTGTGGCTGACGCTGTGCCAGCGGCTGGAAAGGCTGCCCTCCCTGAGGTGACCGGACTTGCTGTCCTGAAGACATTTCCAGAATCTCTACCTGCTTACTGGGAGTTTTCCATTTCTAGCCGTCCCCCACCCCCACCCAGATGCACTTACAGATGAATAAAAGATGGGAAACAGGAAGACTGGCAGGAGTCCTGGTTACTATGGCAGCAAGTCAATGAAATGCCAAAGCACATGAAACTGATAGGGAGCCTGGGAATCAGGTAGACATGGCTGCGCCTGCTGAAGGCTCTCCTTCATGCAGGGTCCAGCTCCTGCCTTCGCCTCCTATTTCAACCCCCTCACGGCACGGGGGGAGGCAGCACTGGAAGGACAAGGAGACCAGGAGAGGTAAGAATCACCAAGTATTTTGATAGTAGAGGCAAAAGGACTATAAAAGTTTATTTTAGAGGCCTGTGAACCTTCTGCATGTCAGTGGATAGTTTAACAAAAATATTTGGGTAGGTTAAGAGCAATTTTTTAAAATACTCCCTGATAGAATCAGAAACTTGGGTTTTGGCCAAGAATCAAGCTTGCACAGCTTGCTAAACAGACCAAAGGGTCCACCAACTTGAGGAAGGGACATCAGAGCTGGCGCTACTCTGCAGGGCAGGGAGGATGGCTAGAGAAGCAAAGGGGACCGGAGGGCTTAGAGCACCAAGATCCAGCTGCTTCTAGAAGAGGAGGCTTTTCCTTAAATCCCATGTGAATTTCATTTGTTCCACCAACATCCTGGAAGCATGATTTAGGACTCCAGGCCCTCCCCTAACGTGGCCTCCTCAAGGCTGCTCCTTACCTCCACTGGATACTGCAGATGCATGGGCCTGGCACACGGGATATGTTCCTTAGACAAACATCTGTTGACTACCCAAGTCAAAGAATAAATGGGAAGAAGAAAGTTGCTAACTAACGTGAACTAGAAAGGAGGAAGGGATTAAATCAAGTCATAAGCTCAAGGAGATACAAGATTGTGGTTTTTGCTGGTGGTTTTGCTGTTAAAAAAGGCCCCAGAGCAGGGCCAACATGCCCTCCAGAGCTCCTGGTGCAAAAGAGCGAGACGGAGAATTCCGTGTCCTTAAAATCAGGTCCCATCAGGCAGGAGCTGGGGTGCTGCTGACCCCCAGTTCCCTCTTCATGGATCAACAAGTAGTAACTATGGTGTCTTTGAGCAGAAACACACATAAGGCGATGTCTTATGTGTCATTATGTGTGCTTCTGGTCATTTGCCTTCTTTCAGCAAAGAAGAGAAGTGGGCAACAGGCCATGGAACCTCAACCGTCACCTGCTCAGTAGAGAGGGGACAACAGGACTTCCAGTAAGTTGGAGGATTCAATGCAGCATCTAAATATGCTCACGCCTGAAAACCAACCAGCACTATGGTGAGGGTCTGTGTGTGTTTTAAAGAACAACTCTGCAAAAATGGGGGAGAAAAGGCGGTAACAGCAATACATTTTTGGAAGAAATTAAATGGGGGAAACCAAGAATAAACCACGTTTACTCTGGAGATGTCCTCAAAAGATCAGGGAATTGTCAATACTGGGTGCTCTGGGTGTGGGCATGAAGAGGGAGACTAAAATAGAGAAATGGCCGCAGAGTTCAAGAGGAAGCCCTACGTGCAGGTTTGGGGGGTCTCTTCTGTGGAGTAAAGCAGAGGGAAGTCTGGAATGAGGGCCACAGGCACAGCTGTCAAAATAGGGTACACATAACCCATGGGTTCAGAAGAAGCAGCGAGACCCCTGTGCTCTCTCCCCACAAAGCTCCCAGAATAATGGCCTGAGGCCCTTATACTTTAAAATCACTAACAATCTTCATTAGGGCGTCTACCCTGTTCAAACACGCTGTAGAAGGCATCTGATTCAGAGCACCCACATATTCAGTGGTTTTAGTGCACCAATTAAGCAGACAGCCACAAGATGAGCACACTTTTGAGAGACCAACACAAATAGGAAAAACCAGAGTAAAAAATGCAGAAGAAAAATGCCAGCATCTTCAGAGATGAGTGGCTATGCCAACCATTAAACAACAAGAGGCTATATAAAAGGAACAAAGGTCTCTTAACAATTAGAAACCTCACAGTAATTTTGAAAAACTTTTTCAACAGAAAGGCTGAAATATAACATTCAGAAACACCCGTAGAAAAAGAAAAAGCAGATGACCGAACAGTCCAGAAGGCCCAAGAGCTAACCAACAGGGGCTCCAAAACAGAGCAAACAGGAGAATCATTACCCCAAGTAGGAACTCAGGCTGCCCGGCTGAAAAGGCCACACTGTAGGGCCAGCACAAGCAAAGAACTTACTGAGCACACGCCGCTGTTATATTTCAAAGCACAGAAACTAGACACCAGAAAAAAATGGTCTGTGCTTACAAATGTCTTTCACAAATGTCTGAAGGAGAACACTTTCCAATCTAGAATTCTATCTTTAGCCCAACTTTCAAACAAATGAGTAGATGCTTTAGACCTGTGGAAAAAAATGAATACTAAGGAGTTGTAAGGCTGGAAAAGACAAGTAAATGTCAGCACCACAGACATCTTGCAGTGGGAGACACAACCATCATCGGGGAGTGGGGGTGCGCCAGGGGCAGCTCTGGGGCTGGGTGAACTGAAGCGCCTCACTCCGCATACTGAAAGGGCCCCAGTGGAAGGCCTCTACCCCTGTGAGCAGGTGCACCCAGGCCCTGGCTTCTCAGTGCCGCTGCTTTCTACATGTCCGCCCTGACGGACGCAGAGACCACACACGGAGCCTGGGACACCCCATGGTGCTTGGAAACAAGAAGAACTCAAACAATGAAGGAGACACATCTCAAAGCACACGGACGCTGGCCTGAAGGGCATCTCCCTGGTTATGCCTGTGAACACACAGTGATGGGTTATAAGTGACTAAATGAAATCACCCACGAGTTCCTACTCATCAGAGGAGAAAAGGGAAGGCTGGTGATTTCAGTGTCACCACGCATCACACCCAAGAGTTAGCAAAATCACTGTTTTTGCACAGTTTAAAGGACACAGACCTAGAAGATAAATGCAGTGGACTGGCTTCTGAGCTTGAAAATCAGCTGCGATGAAAGGACATTACTGCAACAGCATCACCTGAATGAAGACTTTGGATTAAAATAATGTAACGCTATGACTTTCCAGATTCTGGTAATGATTGCGATTTATGAAAGAGTGTCCTTGTCTTAAGAAATACAACCCCGGGCCTCCCCTGGTGGTGCAGCAGTTGAGCACTGGGCTGCAAAGCTGCCCGCAGCCTCTGCAGCACCAGTTTGATCCCCAGCCGTGGGCGAGGGTCCCACATGGCTCGCAGACCTCTCCTGCTGCGTCTGCTGCATCTGCTGCTCCCCTCAGCAGTGTATTTCGTCTGTCTGCCTGCTCTGCTCCCCACTCTGGCTCTGGTGAATTCTCTCACCCTCCCGCGCTTCTGACTGTACCCAGTGCTTGAATAAATAAATAAATAAATAAATAAATAAATAAATGAATAAATAAATCTTAAAAAAAAAAAAAAATACAACCCCCCGCCCACGTACTGAGGGGCCAGAGGGAGATGCTCTCCGCCCGAGGGGCCCTGGCCCGCGCACGGACCAGAGAGGGCGAAGTAGATGCAGCCCAATGTTAACTCCTGCTCCCTCTGGATGAGGACGCCGCCGCTCGTCACAGCAGTCTTACAACTCCCCTGCGATTTGAAATTATTTCAAAATTGGAAGTAAGAAAACAACCTGAAGATTTTTATTTACTCAACGTTTTATCTATAAGTCAGATGCCAGCCAGTACCTGTTCGCCAGGGAGACGTCAGCCACTGCCGCTGGGGCCGGGCAGGAGACCCTTTCTTAACTCTGACACACAGAAGGCACCGCGCATGCAGCCCATCTACACAGAAAATACTCAGCCACAGAAATGTAAATTTTTCATTTTATTCAAAGTTGGTACAGAAGTGCTAACATTTCCATAAAATAATTACTATACTTCAGTTACAGGACAAAATACCACAGAAAGGAATATACTTTGCAAGAAATGTAGTTCATCTTTAAATTTCCAAATACTTCTGAAGGCTAATGCAGCAGCTGGCAAAATAACACACATTACACAAAGAACAGTGTATTTTACAGTCAGTAATAACTGATAGCTCTTTAGCAGATTTGCTTTTTTTCCACTTTTAATACAGTAACACTTTTAAAAACACATTCAACCAAGATCATACATGTCTACAGTTTTTATTAAAAATCAGGTTGTGTACAGTAGGTTAGAATAGTCAAGTTAGAATCGTCTTGTGTGGTTATCAATCCTAAATCTACAATTTCAATGGTATTCCTTTTAATATGGAAGCAACCTGGTTTAAACCAAATTCTACTTTCTGCTTGCAACTAAAACATTTGTTCAGTGAGATGAAACCCAATTTGTCAAAACTTAAAAAAAAAAAAAAAAGCTGTGGACAATAAAGTACACCGGGTATCAGTTTACAATTCAAAAGACTCGCCAGTAACTCAACCACTTCATTTCTAACCACTTTTGGTCTACAGAGCATAACTGACAAATGATACACGTACACAATACACACCCCCAGTGCACACACTGGCTTCTTACAAAAAAAGCTGACAAAGCATAATAGGCAGGACACTAGGAAAACCATTTTCCAATGTTTTAAAAATGCAGTAATACTTACATATCAAAATGACTAGATAAAAGCAGCAGTACATTCTGCTGACGTTTGGCTTAAAAAGAAGGAAATGAATGAAGCAATTTCACAGGATATTAGAAAAGGAATTGGTTTTCTTCTTGAAGAAGACTACTAACTTTTGCACAGCAACTATTTTTGATATCCACCTTGTCAAAGAAAAAGAAAAAGAAAAAAAAAAAAAAAAGCACTGGAAAACCTAACAGTTCACCTGTGACCGCCAACTCAGGTCGGGGCAACAGAAAACGGGGTGTCAGAGGGGAGCGCTCCCTTTCGACACTGCTGGCGATCTATAAACTGAAGCAATATTGGTGGGGAAAGCAGGGAGACAGATCCCACGCCATCCTCTGACACTAAAGCAATTAATATGTCATCACTAAAAAAAATAAAGCTTTTGCATTTTAACAATTCCACAGAAAAGTCCATGAGCAAAAAGACTGCATCTGTTTGCCACTCAAAAGTTAGAGATCTCACAGTGAAATTAGAAAATTCTAATTATACATATTTACACTGCTAGGGCTACTCTCACCTAAGCTAATTAAAGCAACGTTCCATGGAATTATAAGTGAAAAGATATTCTGCCAAAGAATCTTCTAAAGCATTATGTTCTTACAAACCATTTTAAATTTAAAACAACAGTTAAAGGTACAGAACATACACCACGCAGGACTGACAGGCTGTAGCTGCTTTGCCTCGTCACAGGCTGCTCAGCCAGAGCCGCATCCAGTCTCCCCCTGCCCGCCAGCCCTCGGGCGCCTCCTCCCTTGCCGGGTGGGTCACCTCCTAACACTTTTGCTAGTTGCCTAAGGGGGTTGGGGGTAGGGAGGCTATTCCCTCCACGCATTCAAGCCCACGCTCCTCAAACACGCTTCGTGGATCTTCATTCCACGTGTGATGAGAGCTGAGAAGACAAACGAGAGAAGGGGAGTGTGTACCCGGGAGCCCCTGCTCTCATCCTGCAAGTTCTCCCTTCTGACTTGGACAAAACGCAAGACAAAGGCATATTCATTCATTCATTCTTGCTGAATCGGGACTGGTTGAAGAGAGGAAATGAGGGGTGAGGTAGGGCAATGCTGAGTGGGAGAAAATTTATTTTCCTCTTTTGCACACTCACAGATTCCACCTAGTCTCGAAGTGGTAATGAGACCCACAGGTGGGGGGTGGGGTGAGGAATCCCTTAGGACTCTCATAACTTCTATGAAAAAGCAAAATAGCTCATTGGGCAGATTTGTCTCAGAATGTCGGGAACCCCTGGATCAAATACCGCACCATTAAAAATTACAGTCAAGTATGTGGAAAAACACCCCGTCATCTCTCAAACCAACCCGCACAGAAAGTACAGACAAGTCAGCATGCAGAACACATCCATGTTCGGGGCGCAACCGGCAATAGGCAAAGCCAAAAGGATTTCAGATTAAAATGTAATATTAACAACTCCAACGGCTCTACAGCTTAAAGCAGAAATTTCCAGACTGTTGCAACCATCAAGTACCTAGAAGTCTGTCCCCTGTGTTTTTGGTTCTACTTTGTAGGAAAGCGCCCACAAACCCCTTTTTAGCTAGTAGTCCCCCTAATCTAACTGCAGCATTCATGACATCCGTATTCTCTCTCTCTGCCATGGCCGCACAACCTTGCTCAGGCTGTTACACCGAGTCACTGCCACCGAGGACCCGCAACGAAGACACCCTGTTGCCCAGGGCCCTCAATGCCACGGCCCTCCTCCCAACACTTCCCCAGATGAACCCCGCCGGCCTCAGGACCGGCACTTGTGGGAGGCTGAGAACACGCTCGCCTTGTGCTTTCTACATGTGGAGAGAGACACGCGTGTGAAGGTGAGCTTGTGCTTTCTGTGGACCGTCACGCTTTGTCCCCATCATAGAATATGACACTGTGGTCACATACATGTTCTGACACACCTGCCAAACCTACACTGAAAAAACAATATAGCTAAAATACACTCACTCGCATTAATGTAAGTGACTTCATATTTTTAATTAAGGATATAAAAGAAACAAATACAGATGAATAAATACCATGAGCTGTAACACGAATTAGAGCTACTTGGTTTCCTTGAAACTAAATAAAAGCTGCATATAAAGTATGTAAATATAAATGTATTTTTCTTTCCTTTACTACGTTATAACAAAATTTAAAAAGAGGAATTGTAACAAGAACTTTCTATCAAGAAAGGGAAAGGTGTGTAAACTAGCAGAGTCAATATTGGCGACCAGAAGGCACTAATCAAAACACAAATTCAGAAGTTGATTATATTATGCAATACCCTTAGATAATGGCCTTTGCCCACTTGGAACTTCAATGATAGCAAAGAGCTTAAGTTTTGATTTCCAACTATTTTAATAAAAAAGTGTTATTAAAGAATATTCCACTAACAGGTTATGTCTAGAATACAATGATATATTTTTTTAAAAAAAGAAACCATCCAGGCTGGTCTGTCCAAAGGCAATAAAAACAAAGCAAATACTCCTTTATCCAGCAGCACTAGGGCTCAAGGTGGATTGACCACGATGAATACAAGTCTTCACTAAGACTGTGATTACTTACTGCCAACTTGTGCGGTGGCCAAAATCACTGAAATATGTATTTTCCTTGTTGACAGACTTCACCAACCATCAACTATCTTCCACTGGAGTGGGGGTGGGGGTCATTATCACGGGCGAGGTCATAGTACATGCTGTCTGAGGACAGCACAGCCACTGCTCCCACTGAGAATAAGCTGAGACCCACTGTGCTTTGTCTTGCCTTGATCTCGGCTGCTTATTATTCTAGCATCATGCTCTTCAAACATGCTAAGAATAGGAGTAACCAGAGCAGACCCAGAAGACACTGCACACAGTGAGGCCGCTGGCTTAAGTCAACAGCCTCAGGCTGTGGTCCTCTCCTAGAAGTAAAGTGCGTGAGATGAGCAAAGACACAAGATACAACAAACCTCCTTGTTTACAGGGACAATGTGCCAATGGCTAAGGCTGTTGGTTACCAGATAAATGGGCACCTAACCCAAAACAGAAAATTAAATCCTTATCTTTTATAAAGGAATTGCGACAGAAACAGGAACATAAATTACATCGAGTCCCACAACATTTCTTTAAAAGCGAAATCAGTAGTTTGAAGCCTATTCCCAGAACTGAAGACAGAAGTTTATATAAATGCACATGACTGCGTGACTAGTGGGGTGGGCCTCAAGAGCTGAATCCTAACTAAATTCTGTTCTACAAGTCAAAGCAGCTGAGCACCAGCCTTTCAACAGAGGGGAGGGTCTGACAACTGCTACCAGGTTAAAGAGACGTGACTTTAATGGAAGAGCGGAGCTGCGCCTCCGAGTGTGAGCAAACGTTACTCCCATGTCAACCCAGCTTCACACTTACCGGGAAGAGAAGGGCTTCCCTATATGCCAAACGGCTAGTCCAGCTCTGTACCTTCCCTTCAAGAACAAGGCTTTTTGGCATCAAAGCTCACGCCAGTCCTTTTGCATCGCCAGACCGTCACTTCAAAGGGACGCATATGAATTTTCAATAATGCTGCCCCCCTACTTTTTGAAAAAGTTTTCAGAATAAAATACTACTGAATTATTAGGGCTTTTATTATTAGTGAACACAAAGTCTGAAAAAATCATTCTTGAGAATTAACAGTTGAAGCTAGTGGAATCATAACATATTTAAACATAACTACATTTAATGAATCATTATTTGGATCCATGTCTTTACAACTGGGACAAAGCTGCACTTTTGCACACCGTGGCAATAAGTCTAAAAAAGTGAACTAGGCTGACAAAAGATCGAAACAGAAACCTGATGACTGTTGAGAAACCAGGTGAAGATTTAAGCAAGGTGCGAAGAGACAATGGCAAAGACCAGTGTCTCTGAACAGCAAGTGGGCGCACACTCGAGTGGGAACAGGCCATGTCTGTAAGGTCCCCTCAGCTCATGTCCACATGGAAGAGACAGGCAATTTAACACCTAGCTGACGAGAAATCTTAATACTGAAACCTAAAAGCCATTTTTCCCACTAAAGCATCTTTTATCAAATCATTCATTTTAATTTCAATTGTGTTAACAAATTCACACTTGACAATAATGAACACCAAGCCAGGATTGCCCTGGCTTGCTCTTACTGGTACTGGATTCTCCATGGGGAGGGCCTGAAACTAGTTGATCACCAAGGTGCCTCTGGTTCTAGAATTCAATGACGGGGATTCCACCTCTTCGACTCTAAGTTAATGTTTGTCCTTTACCAACTTGAGTCTGTATCGCCGAGATCCTTCTCAGCAGCTCATTTCATAGTTTTTCTTACTTCTTAGGAAAATTCTGTCCTGGCAAGTAACAAAATTTAACAGGAATGGTCTTCATACGTCTCAACCCAGAGGTGAGACAGTGGGTGCCACTCGAGATCCCACACCTCCTTCCAGCCTTCACACCTCGGGGAAGCCACAGGGGCCACGAAGTGTAAGGAAAGCAAACAAGTCAGATACGGCCAAGCGTTACAGAGCCGTCCATGGGCTGACCAGAGTGAGAACACCCATCGGCTCCCGGAAATGCTCTCGGAGAGGAGGGAGCGGAAGACACTACGCCGAGCTCAAGCAGCCGGGGGGCTGGGAAGGCAGAGCCGCGAGGACGCCGACAGCCCTGGACTGGATTTCTCAGACCCACTCCCGCCAGCCTCAGGCCAGGGAACAGAGGAACCCGCTTCCCGCACAAGTGTTCAATCTTGGGAAGCTCAGGAGCAACGAGTCCCTGCTCGTGGCACCAGGTGTCATGTCGGCCCTAGGGGCTCGGGCAGGGCCTGGCCCAGGCCTCTCTGCGCAACAGGACAATGGATGCTCTGAGTCAAGAGAAAAGGAAACCCAGGGAGAGCAGAGTGGCTGGGTGTAAGCCGAAGGCCACAGCACCACCACTACTGCTCGATGCTCCTCTAATGAAGAGAAGATGACACCCTCACCAGAAGAGAGACTGGAGGAGAAAGACTGGCTCTGCTGTTTGAGAAGCGACTTACTAACCCGGGGAGGCAGAACCGTCTTGGACTAACAGGGAAATCAGCGGTCCCGCGAATCACCCTGCACACCACAGTAGTAAGTTCTTCTCATCAAATCTCGAGACTCAGGTTGCCAGAGAGGATAAAAGCCGAAGAATGGAGGATAGCATTAGCAAAAGAGACAGGGTGTTTTTCTCCGCCTCAGAAGTCCAGTGTCCTCACTGATCAGTCACTATCACTCCTGGTCGGTTCTGACCCTTAGCTTGAGACACGACAAAAACACACACACTTTGCTGTCTGAGATAAGGTCATCACACAGGACCCTGTTTGGTTCAAGCACCAACATCTTGCGAGCTTAAGACAGACCATGTATCTTCCCATCAGCAATCACTCTAATGAAACAGACTGAAAAATGGTCCCCTGAAATGACGCTGCAATCAGCAATTCACAAACTTATTCGAGCGCATTACATATTACTGGGAAGCAATAAGACGGGCAAGCTTCAGGGACGTCAATCTAAATCAAGTGATGCGCGTACTGGCAAGAATAAACAATCCTAACAGATATGCTAATAGTCATTCCTTATTTACAGACATCAGTTCTCTACACTTGACCTACTGCTATATACACACGCGCAGACACACGGGATGTGCTGTATGAAGTGTACTAAGACAACAGCAGAGAGAAGGCAGGGGGACCCTAATACTCCAAACTATTAGGACTCAATATTAAAAAAGGGGTGGAGGACCCCTCATCAAGACCCCCAATTCTTTTATGCTGTAAACAGCAGGGGGAGGAAGGCTGCTCAGTTTGTGTATCCTCACTGCCGATGTGTTCAGAGTCAAAAAAAAGAAAATACTTTAAATTTCTACAACTTAATGCCAAGTTGAAAAACCTAAGATCCTATTATTTCCCCAAACACCAGAAGGTTGTCTCAACAGGAGAATAGTTCCTTTGAGAACAGAGGAGAACAAAGCGTGAGTCCAGCTGTGGACTTCCGGTTTTCTGTTCTTCGAAACGGACTTGGTGACCCCGCTCTTTTCGCGGTTTCACAGCCTCCAGACAAGAAAAGAATGGTCCCGGTTTATTTGGCCCCCAGGCTATAAACCTTAAGAAAGTAAGCTGAGAAAAAATTCTACAAGGCACTCTAATTGCTCAGAAATCATGCTACTCATACATGAATTATTTTTTCACCTACAGACTCAGTCCACCAGAAAGTCTCCTGGCGATGGGAAGACATTATGCTACCTGAAAATCTCTAAAATCAGCTTTGGACGCATCGAGTCCGTCATAGTGACACTAGTGTATAGAATACAAAAAATGTAAAGTCATTAGGACTGAGTTTTGATTCAAAATCTACAAAAGTATCTTAAAAAAAAGTAATGTTGTTCCCTAAACAATACAAGCTTAGTAAAATCATGCAATTTAAAAAGTATCAGCAATTACAGGAAACAAAGTCAAAGAAAGTAGATACACAGTTAGCGCCCTCCCTCTACCTGAGGGTGACAGGACAGCGTCCGCGCACCCCCACACCGAGCTGCAGAGCCTCTGGACCTCCTGTACCTGGCCCCCAGGAAGAGGAATCAGCCTGAAAAGAGAGATTCCCACCCAGGGAAGCGACAAGAGGGCAGCAGCCCCCAAGGCGGAGGCCCCACGTCTGACATGCACGGGGCCTGCACACCCCGACAGACCAACCTGGGGGCCAGTCCCTGCGCGTGGCCCTGTGGAGCACACCACCCCTCTAGTGCAGGGTGCGGGGACCGCCCAGGGTCAAGCCCGCCGGCTGGGGCGTGTCAGTGAAGGCCGGTGTGCAGGGCACCCTGCAGCTCTGGTCACTGCAACGTTCTCAACAAGAACAGAGGCCACGGATCGGTGGCACGTCTTGGGAAAAAGCGAATCAGGAAAAAAACTTATCAAGGATACACTATGGTCTCAATGAAATCCTCCCTCTGAAAATTCAATCTCAATGCACCGTGGGCTCATCAAGTGCGAGGCCAGCACGTGGGCTGTGCCAACTTTTCTCGGAATTTCTGGGCATGTCTTCCAAGTGGAACCCTGAGAAGCACCAGGCTGGTCAAGAATGTGACCAAGTGACAGGAGGGACGCTGGGAAGTCATGAAGCCTCAGGAAAGTGAGCAAACACTGCTTGGGCTGCCAATCCTCAACTACATCGACAACCTTAACTTGGTCCAAAAGTGTGGGGGTCATCAGCAATGCTCACTTCATTTTCTCCCCCAAAGTCAGTGAACAACACAGTCATGACAGGTAACTTTAAAGACAGAACATGGTCCCCTCAAATCTCCAACCAGGAAAGCAAACTAGAACGGGCACCACCTCCGCCCAGCACCCCCGCGCCGGAGGCAGAGCAACCACAGGAAGTCGTCCTCCCACAGCCGGGGGAGCCCGGCACCAGCCGACCTGTCCCCAGACGAGCACCCACACACATGGGTTTTCAGTCCCCGCACGGACGCGACACGGACTAGCTAATTCAGGCTCCTGCTGCTGTTCTCATGGCAGCGGCGGTGGGGTTGACAGGGATGGAGGGAAGACTGTGAGGCGAGCGGGTCCTCCGCCTCAGAAGGCCCACGAGGCCTGGCCAGGCAGACAGGCCCACCTTATGGGTGGCCGTAGGGCTGCGCTGCTCTGAGGGTCCTGTGAGAACAACTGGTCTCTCCTGACTTTGGTACGGCAAATTTTAAAAGACATTTGCACAATTCAGTCTGATAAACAAGTTTGCTTCACTTAGGTTGAAAATTGACTTTCATCCACCTCTGGGAAAATAAAGTCTTGCAAAAAAAATGATTTTCAGCTAAGTAAAATTTGGCTAAAACCTACAGCGTAAACAATGCCTGAGAGATGCAACAGTTACATAAGGATCCCCCCCAAAAAAACCAGTTATGTTCTTAAGTTAATGTCTCATTGTATCCTTCAAAGTTCATAAGGAAAAATAAACAAACATGAAAATTCCAAGGGAACACACAGCAAAAAGTCCAATATTTAGTATTAGCTTCACTCGCGGCGGCTCTTCCAACATCTGTAAACACACAGCCTCCTCCTCCACCAGGTCTCTGAGACTCCGCTTGCTGAGGCTCTTGCTTTTGAAGCCACAGAACCAGTCTATGAACTTCCAGTAGCGGCTTCCGTCCTCCGCCTCTTTCTTCCTCTCCCTCTCCCCCATGAGCGCCGCCTGCCCGTTGGAGTACGCGTCCACCGGCGTCTCCGCCTCGGAGTGGCCCACGGAGGCCAGGGCGCCGCCCTCCTCTCTGCAGGTCACCAGCAGGTTGACGTCCTCGGGCTGCAGGCCCTTGAGGCTGTCCTCAGACTTCCCGTTGGGGATGACGTGGTTGACGGCCTCGCTGTTCTCGCTGCCCCTCAGGATGCTCTTCTCCTGCATTTTGTACGGCTCGTCCTTCGGGGAGCAGCTCTCCTTCACCACCAGGCTCTTCTTAGACCAGAAGGTGGTGGTGCGGATCTGCTCCTTCGTCGGGGGTGGCGTGAGCAGGCTCACCACCACAGTGATGAGCCCCGTGATCCAGAACAGCGCCGTGGCCACGTACATGTAGTGGACATCTTTGATGAAACCTGGCCTGTTGTCGGGCTGGTCACACTCTGGGGCACGGTAGGCAAAGGCCAGGGTCAAGCGGATGGCTCCAAGGACGAAGCCGGCCATCCCACCGTAGAAAGCCCCCTGCTCGTTGCAGCGCTTCCAGAAAATCGCCAGGAGGAACAGGGCCGCCACGGGAGGCGTCAGGTAGTCCGCCACCTCCTGGATGTACAGGTACATCTGGCCCCTTTGCGTCTCCACAATGATCGGCACCCACGCGATGCTGATCACCACCATGAAAGCCACAAATATCCTCCCCACAATCATCAGCTCCCGGGAGCTTGCGCTCTTGCGGATGAGTTTGTACACATCCAGGGTGAATATGGTGCTGGCACTGTTAAAGATAGAGTCCAAGTCGCTCATCAGCGCCGCGATCATCACTGCCATCATCAGGCCCCGCAGGCCTACAGGGACCAGCTTCATTACCAGGCGCGGGTAGGCGATGTTGGAGCAGCCAGCTCTGCTGCCGCACACCCTCAGGCAGTGCTCTGGGTTGATGCACGCTAAGTCGTCAGTGAACAGAATCCGGGAAATCATCCCCGGGACCACGATGATGAACATGGGCAGGAGCTTCAGGAAGCCAGCCATCAGCGTGGAGCCCTTGGCGTGGGCGATGTTTTTAGCCGCGAGGACCCTCTGCACGATCACTTGGTCGGCACACCAGTACCACACCGAGGCTGGGGTCTGCCCCAGGACAAACCCCGGCCAGGGGACATCTTCGTCTGTTGGATTCCGCAACATCTTCAGCGCGTCTTTCTTAGGGTGGACGTTACAAGAATTTGTGTTGGAAAGGTTGTATGTCAACAAGATGGACGTGACATTGGGTGAGGCCAACATGTACCTTCTCTTCACTTCCTCAAACCCACCAATCTCCATCATGCTAATAACCATCAGGGTGAGCGCACCCACGATCATGAGCAGGGCCTGCAGGGTGTCTGTGTAGATCACTGCCACGAGGCCTCCGGTGACGGTCAGCAAAGCGGTCATGCCAATGAGCAGGATGACAGACACATACAGATCCCAACCCAAAGACTCCTGGATGAAGAGGGCACCCGAGTACAGATCCACGGAGAGCTTGGTGAAGATATAGAGAAGCAGAGACAAGGCGGCGAAATAGACCTGAATCCTATGGCCGCCAAACCGCTTGGACAAGTACTCGGGCATGGTGTACACCCCCGAGCGGATGTAAATCGGGATGAAGACCCAGCCCAGAAGTTGCAAAAGCAGCAAGGCATTGAACTCCCAGGCGCCCACTGCAAATCCACTCGCAGCTCCAGATCCTGCCAGCCCAATGAAGTGCTCACTCCCAATATTGCTCACAAACAGAGAGGCACCGATCGCGACCCAGGTCATAGAGCGCCCCGCCAGGAAGTATCCGCTCACGGTGCTTCTGTTAGACTTCCACATGGCAAAAAACCCAATGCACATGACCAGGATGAAATACAGGGCCACTATGGCAATGTCTGCTGTCTCCAGCACAGCCCTCATTTTGGTAACTTTGTGAACAAAAGCGTCCAATGACAGAAGGGTCCACCTTTTATTTACTCCTAGTGACCTCAGTCAGTCTGTAAACCACACGTGAGCGGGACTACACAGAGTGACACGCAGGTCAAGTCTTTGTCCTTTGGTTTGCTGTCTTGATGGTGCTGGCTGTGATAAACTTTGAAGGAGACAGTTTAAATTTTCCTCCGCTTCTTAATTGAGATTGAGAACTTAGCTCGTACTCTTAATCCATCTCCACAAGACCATCAGCATTTACTCAGGTGTTGGAGGAGAAATTCTGAGTGGCCGCTAAGTCTAGTGAAGCCTACTGTACCAACCCTGCAAGGCAGCAAAGACAAAAGACAAAGATTGAATTAGAGGATGGTCTCACCAGGAGATGAGGAAACGTTCAGTCGAGCAAAACGGCGCAACAAGACATTCTTTATAAAGAGAAAACAGAATGTTAAAACATACTTGGGTTCCACAGGGAAGGGGAAACTATACTGTCACGGCTGATACTGAAAAGTCTGTGAAAATAGTCCTCACTTTGGACTGAGAACAAAAGTTCACCCCCTCCCAGCTCAGCCTTCCTGGCACTGAGAACTGCCCACCACGGCCCCGCCCGTCTGGTTACTGTGCTTGTTCCAGAGGGCAGGTGCCGCGACGCTGCAGCACCTTAAAGGGGGAATCACACGCATTACTTAGAATGCGGGTGCCACAGTGAACCTCCAAATGCCGTGAGTCGCGAGGGTGACGCACTTTATGGTCAGGTAGGGTCCAGGCGGAGCCGGGGGTGGCGGTCGCCGGAGTTATCACCTGCCCCTGAACAGAAAGCCAGTCATGGCTTAGTCTGCGCCAGATCTACTGCCAGGAAGTTTCCCCGAGCCGCAGGCGGAGAAGCATCCTGTGCTGGTCAGTGCGCAGTGACCCAGAAACCGCCGGATGACTGCCGCGCGGAAGGGAAGCGGCACCTTCAGCACAAGGTAGCCAGGACCGAGACAGTGAAGGTGCCGGCTCGGGGTGGTGTGCTGGGTTATGTCTTCCTTCAAGGCTTCATGTTGAAAGGCAGAGAAAGCAACAGGAGGAGGGAGAAGGAGAAAAAGTTTTCTGGAAGACTGAAAAACCATTTGCTTGTTCAGTCCCCCAGACCTCAATGAAACATGTATGTCACCCACCGGATAACAAATCATCTTCAACGAGTCAATCAGATATATTTAATTCTGCATTAAGAAAATCACTACAAAAATTTACCTAAAATTGAGCTTAGGAATTTGATGGTTTTTCTCCTGGAAAAAAGACACATTCTAAAACTTCTAAGTTAATTATAATTGCAGCTGAAAGAGCAACAGGAAAAAAGACTTTATTATTCAACTGAGTGCCTTCCACACGTTAACTCTTGAAGTGATTTTTTTTCTTTTGTGCTAAGGCAGCCTCCAAGTGAAATGTTTTTCTATGCTTCGTAAAGCAGATGTTTTTTGATGAAGCTAGGCATTTTCCTTTAAATATCAGAAGCAAACTTAAGTCCTATGATCCTAAAATTACCTCTCCTCAAAACTGTCCAAAATAGACAATACTTAATACTAAGAGACTGAAAAATATACCTTCCATTGGCAAGGACAGGAGTGGGGATAATGGCTGAGGGGAATGCCCCAAACTAGGCTACGAAGGCCTAACCACAGGGATCCCCAGGTGGAAGGCCTAGTCTAAGCTGATCGCACTGCCATGATTCTACTAAGACACTGACTCTAACCCTTCCTCCTAAAAGCCAGTGCCCATGACTGGCACCAATAAAAATGCCCAGCAAGCACCTACGTGGTCCATTAGAGGTTAGAATGGGTATCACTTCACACCTGCTGGTCCTGACGATGGTCACATGACCGTGACCCATGACCACTCTCCCACACCCCAAAATTTTCAAGTTTTTAAAGAAATATTTGGACATTATTTAGGAAGAATCACCTATATTTTTTAACAATCTAATCAGATGACTAATAAACCTTAAGGATCTAAAATGTTTAATGCCTTTAATGTTCAGTATAAGGGTCAGGTTCTTTATTACAATAAAAACTGTGGTGGGAAGCTATAAAATTCTGTCTTCAATGGAGCTGTCCTGCCATCCACACCCAAGCCACCTCTCGCCTCCTTCCAACTTATACAGAGAAGACTGGCGTGCTAATCAGAGGGCCGCAGGTGTCACTCTACTCACTGGCAGGAGCTGACATGTGGTTCCCCATGAAGGAACAAACAGCCGCAGTGTTCCTGGTTTTACTGGAGGGGAGGTGATGCGGGGCTGCGTGTTGGGGAGTCTGCTGCAGCGGTTTTTTGTTCATTCAGAGAAATAAATGTCCAGAACCAAAACAAGCACGTTCCTCCTTAACCTCTAGGCGGCACTTTTCACATCAGTCACATTCTCTCTGCCAAATAGGATTAATGGACATCAGACCTAAGGCATGTTCTGCGCCCTGGTGAGTGCACAGACAGGCTGAGATTCCCAGGCTGAGTCTAACGCTCACTTCTCCAGGACAGCAGAGCCAGAGACGAGATCTCTGCACGGGAGGGGCCCAACACCTGCTCAGACCCTTCAAGAGCCAATGTCCACAGGTCCCTTCTCACTGGACACCGTAGCAGTCTGTGGGCAGGTTTAAGATTTTTCCAATTTGAACAAAAAACATCCAGGGACCAGCACCTGGTAAAGACTGGAAAAGGAAAAACAAAACCAAAAACAGGTCAATTTAGTTTGGAGACAAGAGACATAAAATCCTAAAAAAACAATACAGATAAACAGAAATTGTCAAAGTATCGAATTCAATCTTTCTCCTAAAATGATTTCAAATAAGATACTAAGTTTTACATATTTTTGCTTTCCTTTCAAGCAGTAAACATTTCTACCATCAGAAAGACAATGATCACTGGCCAGACTGTCTTTATTTTTTTGGAAGACGACACATGAAAAGAATATCTATTAAAATGAAGCTTTTATTTCAGGCTTCACATTTCCAGAACTAAGATGGTTCATGGGTCAGGTCCAGCTCTTAAATGAGCAATGTGGGACAAGCAATAAAATAGGCGAAGTAATTATGAGTTCATGCCTTGATAGAAGTATTTCCCCAATGAGAATAGTATTTGTAGAATTCCTAAGGAAATGGTCCCCTAGTGGCAAGAGGCAGATCTGACCAACTCTCACAAGGTGTTCTGAAAGGAGAGGGCTAGATCCCTTCTCATAGAGTATTTTGAGTTTTGCACCAAATTAGAACACAATTTTGGTACAGGTTCCAGGTGCCCACATGAACTAAATTACAACTTAAGAATTAATCCAAATATAGAAGTACACATGATCACGGGCTGCATCTGAGCAGCCAGGAAGAGGGAGACAGGTGAGACCTAACTGTAACCCGCTATGAAACGCCTTCTGGTAATAAAATCAGAATGACGGTCAGTGGCCAGATCCAATGTCTTTCTTCAATTATCTAAAATAGCCACTAATTCATCTTCCAAACTAGGAAATTAATCAGGACAAGCAGTAAAGCCCAGATGTATGGGTCTCTGGCTGAAAAGAAAGTCACCTATCACAAAAATCAAACAGAAAACGGGAAAGCAGTCCCTAAAGCCACGAAGGTGCCAAGTCCCAACACAAGGGGGCAAGTGTCAACCAGGGCAGAGCACACAGACTCTGAACGTGACCCGACACGGCACGTTCAGCTTGGGAGCTGATTTTTAAACCACACACTCAAAGAGCCATCTGAAGAGACCCAGCCCGCAGTTGTCCAGCTCCTGTTCCGATTCAATGCCTAATACCACCCCACCAGCTAGTGATTCCAGGGCCTGGGGCACAAACACCTCCCCAAACGTACAGGGATAGGTGGCAAGGTCAAGGACGCAGGCTAGGGTCCAAGTCCTGACACTTCCAACATTCTCTATCAGTCCCAATTGTCTGGTTTGTAGAAGGAAACCGCCACCCAGGTCTCGATGGCTAGGATGGAGCACGGCACCATTTCTCTTAAATGAGAAATGGGGGACAAGCAATAACATGTCACTCTGCCTTCCACCGCTGTACAGGCTGAAGTCTCGGTGTCAGTTCTGCGCGCATGAAGCTGCCGACTGCACCGGGCACATCCAGAGCCTCCGCTACTTGGGGGCAAGAGAGTAAGGCGATGCGTTCAACAGACAGAAAACATTTTAGAAGACTCATTAATGAGACACTTCATAGCTATTATAGCTCCTGTTTACATCGTTTAAGTAAAATGCAAACAGCTAAACTGATAAACGATCCTACACGTGGTGTGAAAAGCCGCTTGTCATCTTCGTTCGAGGTCCAGTGAAGCAAGTTCCACCAGTGAAGCAGTCACCAGTGCTCACAGCGGAGCGCGCGTGTGCGGGCAAGCCCTCCCTGAGCCTGCTTACCCTCCATGTGCCTCACGGGCAGGACGACGGTGCATCCATGACACTGAGAAGCGTTCCCAGCACAACCGATACAATTCCAGACGATTTTAAATCACGTGGTGCTGAGGACAACACTGTGTAATCATGTCACATAACAAACAGCCCCTTAGACCTGTAGGGAGCCTCTGACAAGATGTTTCTATTATACATACAGTCTCGACTCTTCAAGCTTTTGAAAGTATCTAAGAAACGTGTGACCCACTGACTGACCTCACAGGGCGTTCAGCCTAATTCTAAGGATTCCCAGCCCTGTGTACAGCAGGGGGAGCCGGGCAGACAGGGCCCTCCAGCAGCCCCTCACCAGCCAGACCACTCCACTTCCAGCAGTTTCACATTTGGGGGTGTGGAGGGATAGGAATGGTTTCCCATGTAAATAAACCTTTTTTCCCCCAAATGAAACCTTAGTCAACTAGAAAAAGTTCACAGGTTGTCACATTCATCATCTCATCCACATACCACATGCCCTAAGCTACACCCATTTCAACCTGATCCTACCAGCACATAAGTCTCGCTCACAACAGTGTGTTTTCTTCTTCTGTTAAGTCTCAAGAGCTTTTCGATATGGGGACAACTTGGCAATTACCGCTGGCTTCAACTTTTATGTGGGTACTAGATTAAATATATGGAGCAATCGCCAATCACCTATTTTTGAGAAAAATGAAATAACAGAGCAGCAGTGACCACGACACACGTCACCCGACGGCACACTGGGGTGGGCTCAGGGGAAGCAGTCAAGAGGAGCAGCTTATTGGCGTGTAAAAGTCTGGCCCGTAGAGGTGAGTGAGTGACGACTGGAGGTGAAAACCACCTGACATCACCCCAGTCCTGACACCTCACGGGGACCATGTGCCTGGCTCTGTGACAACCCCAGCTAAGCGCGAGCGGCGTGGGTCTCCCGCAGCGCCTCTGGCCCAGGGCGTCCAGCTGTCTGTGCTGATGTCGGAGTGTGCACTGCCTGTCCACAGGGCGCCTGTCCCGGTCGCCAAGCAACACTACCTCTGATGAAAAGGTCTCTGCACTAAAAAAAATTAACAGTATTAGCAAAAGCCCGCTCAAAATCAATGTTTAAAAACGTGTGCTTGGAGAGACCCCGGAGCTGGACTTGTAACAGATGCTAACGAAACAGACTGCGAGAACAGCACACAGGGCAAAACCCGAGTGGAAGATTTATGAATCCTTGTACGTGAACGGGATGTATTTACGGAGAAAATGAAGAGACTCGAAACAAAAGCCCCAGGCGCGGCTAAAGCACAAAAGGCTTGAGCGGTCACAGCTCTGAGACCAGGTGCACTCGGTTCTTACCTTCCAAGGGCAGGCCTTGCCTGCATTCTTTCTTCTTAGCCAGATTTTCCTCCAGAAAATGAAAGTTAATGCTCGGCAGCTACTCTGCACATGACTTTGTTTCCAGGAGCCACATCTTGGTCTGAGCCAATCTTCCTACACCTGCCAGTGCCACCCCTTTAAGGCATTACACTGAAAGAATCCCCTGGGTGACCCCAGAGGCAGGAGTTCACACTGGACTCAATGGGACGGACCTTACTGCATGAAGTGTATGGAGTGTGAAGAATTGGGTCCACCTGCTTCACTCACTCACCTCATCCCACTCTACAGCTCAGAAATGGCAACATCACCCTCACTACTCCCCAGGCCAAAATTATCAATCATCCTTGACTGCTCACTTTCCCTCTCAACCCACACACAATCCATCCACCAGTAAAGTCTGTTGACTCAAGCTCAAAAAGAAAAAAAAAAATCCCAGTATCAGACCACTTACCACCCCAGTGTCTAGCGCCTGGTCCAAATCACCACCTGTGTCTTCCAGAAACTACCCTAACCTCTCGACCTGTCCCAGCCTCAGCCCATTAAAGGGTGTTAATGACCCCATGGCAGTCACCTTCACTCACAGCGCACCCAGTATGCCTCTGGGCTGCCACAGGGGCGGTTTCCTGCACTGGCACACTGTGCAGCCCGCAGTGCTCGCCTCTCACTAATGTCTTTACTTGAAAGCAACTTCCCCTAAACATCTCAACCTCCCCTTATCCAGTTTTATTTTTCAGAGCACTCAAAATCTTCTAATACACTAACACCTGCTTTTCAATCTCCTCACTACCAGAGGGCAGGGGTTTGTGTTGTTCACTGACGTGGTCTGTGTCTGGAGTCCTGCACACTGCAGGATGAAATGTCGGCTAAATAAATAAATCCAATATCCTGCACAACGGTTTTTCTCAAGCAGTAAGAAATGGCTGATTCAAGTCAAGGAGGTGAGCATTTCCTCTCCCCAAGTGACCAGCAACCTCAAAAAGCTCTAACTGAGGGTATGGATAAACACCTAATCCGACTAGGCAAGAACACCCTGTGTCCAGCTGCACACCTTGGTGGGTCTTGAGAATGTACAAAGATTATGTGGCGCAACCCCTCGTCCTTCCCGCACAGCTTAAGGGGGGGCCCTTCCCTTCTCGGCAGTCAACCCATTTCAGCGCCTTCCACGTATCCTGGCAGCGGGCACCACTTCCCAATGTGGAGAGCTGCACGGCTCTTCCTCGGACAAGCACCTCCTTGCAAGCAGTGCAAGGAGAGTGCGCTGTCCCAGCCCCAACATGTCAGCTTGGAGCCGCCCTCTCCCACCTGCCCTCCCCACTACACCCGAGTTAAATGTTCCCTCCCAGCCAAAAAGTCACTTAACAACGAGCATTTACCAACACTAGTTAGTACTGGGCACCATTTTTACACTACTGTAGCAACTCACCTAAGCTTCACAAAACTTCAAGAGGTGGGCACAATGACCCCCAGCTTACAGGTGAGACAGTTGAGAGGATCGCTGAGGGCGTCTAGCAACATCCCCTGTGAAGATGAAGACCGTTTCCTTGCACAACAATTTCCATAAGATATATATTTAAAAAGTAGAAATAAATCTTAGGAAAAAAAAATGTAACTAATCCATACAGAAAAAATAAGTTAGAAACTCACTTTCTGCAACCCCCAGTGGACAATGAATCAGGCAAAGTCTACAGCTGATGCTAGAGCACGAGGTGGAGTGACGGGCCACCTAGGCAGGAAGTGTGAGGGTGATAACACCAGCACCACAAGGACGAAGCTTCTCTCTAAAAGGCAGACATAGGGCCTCCCCTGGTGGTGCAGCGGTTGAGCACTGGGCTATGAAGCTGCCCGCAGCCTCTGCAGCGCCGGTTCGATCCCCGGCCGTCAGCGAGGGTCCCACATGGTGTGACAGACCTCTCCTCCCACACCCGCTGCTCCACTCAGCAGTGTACTTCATCAGTCTGCCTGTTCTGTTCCCCGCTCTGGCTCTGGTGAATTCTCTCACCCTCCCGCTCCTCTGACTGTACCCAGTGCTTACATAAATAAATAAATAAATCTTTAAAAAAATAAAAGGCAGACATATGCGCCTCATGATGGCTTCCAAAACAAAACACCTGAGTCTCCTTTCTACCCACCAGCTTACAGAAAACACCAGAAGAGAAGAACACATGTAACTCCAGGAAGCAGCAGCCAAATTCAAAAGGGAGGAAGTGGCAGAAGCCAGGCTAAACAGTTCCGGGAGGACCAGGTAACACAAACTGGGGCCTTGTCTGGATTCACACATATTTGAGCAAACCAACTGCAGACAAACATTTGAGACAAATCTGGGAATGTAGATGTGGATACTGGATGTAAGGAATGGTAGTGAGGTCCCATAAGGCACTGTGGTGGTGTTTTTAAAGGCCTTATCTTTCAAACACTTAATAGTAATTACAGGTGAAGTTTTCTATCTCCATATGCTTTAAAGCTATCTGGTAATAATGGATTCAGAATCTTCTAATGGATGCTAAAAACCCGTAAGAAAAAAAAAATTTACTCTCAAGTTGCTGACACTATCAATGGCTAATTATAAAGGGCAGAAAGGACATTTACAACAGGCATCTGGTGAATTCCACCTGAGCCACATTCTGCTTACCATCACCAACAACGGGACAAACAGATAGGCCTCCTGGAGAGACTGACTTCCCCATGTGATATTCCTGTAACTCAATCACAAGGACACAACTAGACACATGGGAAGTCTGCTTATGAGCAGGCCTAGACTCCCTGAAATCTCACTGAAGAAAAAAGTTTCTGGGGCCTCCCTGGTGGCGCAAGGGGTTAAGACCACAGTATGAAGCAATCCACAGCCTCTGCAGCACAAGTTCGATCCCTGGTCAGCCAGGGAGCAACCCACATGGCGCAGCAGACCTCTCCTGTCTCGCCAGCTCCTCCCCTCAGCAGTGTATTTCAGTCAATCTGCCTGTTCTGTTCCCCGCTCTGTCTCTGGTGAATCCTCTCACCCCCCACATCTCTGGTCCGTACCCCAGCTCTTGTATGCATAAATTAATAAATCTTTTAAAAAAAGAAAAAAGTTTCAGAACTGTTCTGTATCAAGACTAACAATGAGATGCATGATCCTGCATGGGATACTGGATTTAAAAACAAAAGAGTATTACCAAAATAACAGGGCAAGTTTGAACATGACATGAACGTTTTATAACAGGTCAATGTCAAATTTAAACATGTTATGGTGCGGTTAGGAAGGCTATGGTGGTCAGGAAGAAGGCCCTTAGACCTAGGAAATACATGTTAAGATGATTCCTACAACTATCAAATGGTGCATATTTTAAAAAAGAGCAACTATGGCAAATTCTAACAATTGGTGATTCCAGGCAAGAAGCATATAGCTGTTAATGACATGTTCCTGTATCTCTTCTGATGGTTTAAAATTTTAAGGTAAAGTTGGAATGAAATATTCCAGCCCCCATCCAAAAAAAAAAAAAAAAAACCCAGGAGGTAGGAGAGGGGAGCAGAAATGAAGCAAAACCGCTTCACACTGACTGAGCACTGAAGTCAGGCAGCGGGCGCAACACGGAACTTCACTGAACTCACCTCTCCCCACACCCCAGTCTGGGTCTTATTCTCATGTCTATAAAATGGGAAAAACATGAACTTCAGGGTGGCATCATCAAAACAGATTACAAGATGGAAAGTCCTGGGGAAAAAACATCACCAGGCACTGTCAGCTCTGAGAAAGGCTTGACTGAAGACAGCCCCTTAAAGCAAAGGAAAGGCTGCCAAATGGAAGACCCGGTAACAAGTCCCCGAAGGCTGCTCTCATTGGGAGGTTGAAGGCCAGCTCGCAACATGCCCCTTTCATGCATGTCTCCGCCCCCTGAGCACCTGCAGTCCATGCTGAGTTCCTGCATCCCCCCGACCCCCAGTGCCTGCTCCTGTCTCCCTTACTGAAATGAACACGCTCCACAAGCCTGGCTCTCTAGAGCTTACCTCTGAGGTCTTCCGACACGTGGCACTGATGGCACCCAGGGTGCCCAGAACACATGTCTGAGTTCCCCCAGCTTACAAGGACTTGACTGCACCAGTGCGCAGCCCATAGACACAGGCCTGCACATGGAGCTTCGTGTCAGAGGCTGCCCAGAGACTCCTGCTACGTCCCTGACTGAGCTGTGAGGCCCGGAAACCTGTCTGCCATTTGTCATATTTGTAAAACACAGATTACACTGTCTCTTTAGATGACCGAGTATTCAAGGGAGAAAAATCCCCCCCCCCACACACACACACACCCACATCCTGCTCACATCAACTTTGTGGATTAGGTTCTTTAAACCATATGGTTTAGAGGCAGGACATTCAACCAGGTCGACTCGTCGGTTGGCCTTCATGTTTCTGTTGTCATCCAATTTGGTTCCAATTTTATGTTCCTAGAAAAACTATTCCTAGAAGAACAGATACAAAAAAAGTTTCTCATTTTTCCATGTGACTGAGGCCAGAAAACGTAAACACAAGAGTCTTCCTGGTAGACCAGACTCTAATTTCCCCAGGAGGCTAAATCATAAATAGAAGGTCCTGAAATTGCAGTGTTTTCACAGGCAGATACTTACAGTTGGAAAATTTTTACACTTTGTAAGATTTTCAAGTAGTAAAAAATAGAACCACAAGCAGGCTAACTTTAACGATATATGGAAGGACTAATAGAAACCATGTCCTAAATTAAACCTAAGAAGCGAGCATAAAACTGGTGTTGCAGATGACCAAGGCAACTGAACTTTACTTTTTGTTTCCTACTCAGGACAAGTGGACGTGTGCAATAACTGAGAAACACCATCAGAACTGCTTTCCCCTGCATGTCAGGAGTTGAAATTACAAGGAGCTCCAGTGACTTAATCCTGCTAAAATATTGAATAAAATTGCATTAGGGAAATCTCTTTTCTTCATTTTAGCCCTTGAAACTAAATTGGCAAACTTGTGGCCCTCAATTCACACATGAGAATGGCATTCCCGCGGCCAAGCGCCTGACCGGAGTCCGCGGTCCTTACGACGTTCCGGCAGGAGCCGTCTGTCTAAGGTTTAAGAGACACTGTATGTCGTACAATTGCTTTCTTACCAGAGAATGGCAATGAAAACCACCTACTAACTGGATCATAGATTTCCTTTAGCCGGTTCAAGTTATTTTTTTTAACAAAGGACTCTCGAGTATGCCTTTCCTGTAACATAGGCCTGGCCCCCTGCAACAAAAACTCACCTTAAATCTGAATTAAAATCTGTACTGAAAGAAGTTTTACATTCAGAATTTGCACACAGGACATGTGAGCACAAACGGAAAACAGAGCCGGTATCCGGAACTTCAGCTGAGGGCCCCTAACAGCCAGCTGTGGAGAGCTGGGTCCAAGGCTCCTGCACACTGGGCGCCGAGCACAGCGGATCTGGGCGCCTCGCGGATCATCTCCCAGGCTGGACCCAGGCTGGACCCCTGCAGGGCCCCATCCACAGCAGCCTGGGTGTGACGACCGCACTCACTTCTTCACTTAACAAAAAGTAAAGTATTTCAAGAGCAAGGGTGGGATTTAAAAACTGAAGTCTAAACGAACACAAAACCAGCTATTCTTGAGTCTGGAGAGGCGGGCAAAGGCCAGCCTATGTGCACGGAGGGCTCCAGGTAGGGGTTTTGTGAAGCCCAAATGTTTAAGTTCCTGTCCATAGTAACCATCCCCGAAGCACAGGGGAGGGGTCAGAACAAGTCTTGTATGTAGATTTGAATGACAGGGAAGAACACAGTGGACCTCCTTTTTCATTTGAGATTTTACTTCTTCATTTGTAGCTGGCTACTATGTATCTAGAGTGGGTCTGGGGAAATGAGAAAGGCACAAGTATCATCAGTCAAGGTGGTAAGTTAACTCCCATTAGATGGAAACAGGAAACCTGGTCAAAAATAAAAGTATTGTATTTCAAGCCCCTAGGAGGTTAATACAATGGGTATATCCACAATCTAATCATTCAGGCCTAAAATAAGCACTCACCCAACATCCAAAGAAGTGGACTAGGAAGAGCAACTTCTGACAGCTTACACCAAGTATCCTTCAGTCTGGTGGGCTCCCTGAAGGGTGCACACAGCCCTCAGCCTACATGAGAACACAGAATCCAACAGTCCAAAGCCAGAAGCGGACTATAGTCCAGGTCTGACTGAGTCTCAGACTCTAATAAGACAACTTAGAAGAAATAAGTCCCTCTTTGGAGTCTCTTCAATGATGCGGGAAGAAAGGAAAACCAGGCAACGACGTCTAGGTCCCTGGGACCACAGCAGACTATGCACCTGCCACCGCCAAGGTCGCAGCCACCTTCCCCTCAGAGACTCCAGCTTGGCGATGGCTCCGCTTACAGAGGAGGCTTCAAAATGGTTCCGATCCCTAGGAGGTGGATTCCAGGAACCAAAACCAGGTCACTTGTGTCTAAAGCTCTGCTCGTCTCCCAGGCCTGTTCTTTGTTTTCTCAAACATAACGCAGCGGTATCTTCCTCCAGGACCTCATACTCCCATCCACTGAGAAAAGGACAACCAGAGCACTGACTGGCGCAGAAGCCTTCATCTCAATCATATCCAAAAGCAACAGGTGAAAATAAGGGACTAATATTAAAGGAAATCAAGAAATTATCCCACATACATTAAACATCTTATTTAACACAGAAACATACATTTGCCAATCTAGTATGGTTTCAAAGCACTCAGAGAAGTTCCTTCTCCTCTATCTAAACCACATCAATAAACACGCCCTCTACAATTTCCATTTCCGTCTCTACAGTGGAAGGCTTTAGGAAACCCTTGCAGAGTGGTCGACATGCAGAATCCCCGTTACTCCTCTCAAACTTGCACTTAGTGCAGCCACATCTAATTCTACAGTCATTATTTTAGTGACTCACCTTTACTAAAGTCTTTCCAAATAATCCAATTGGGTTTTAGGGAAAAAAATAAATTTGTACTCACACTATCATTTTACATGATATTTACAATTATAAATACAAGATTACCTTCCATAAAAGCTTGGAAACCAACAACTTCTGATAAGCATACAATCTGCCAACGCAAGCCAAAGGCACTGACTTGACAAGCAACATGCTCACTCAAGAGGTCAGCAGATCACCTCATGTTCAGAACTGCCCCAAGAAGGCAGCTAAGTGAGCATCTCACTTATATGCACAGCAAGAAATGCAACAGGCTACACCCTTAAGAATTTGTAATCTGGGCCTCCCATGGTGGCGCAGCAGTTGAGCAGGGGCTGCAGAGGCTGCCTGCAGCCTCTGCAGCGCGGGTTTGTTCCCGGCTGTTTGTTCCCCGGCCTCCGGCAAGGGTCCCACAAAAAAAAAAAAAAAAAAAAAAAAGAAATTTGTAATCTGCCAAGGGAGATAAGAAACACTCCCTCATTAACCGTAACAAGGAGCAGAAAGTGACCCTGGTGGTTAGACAGAAAACCAAAGCCAAGGTCAGGCAGTCTGTGCTTTTGAGAGTGCAGCTCCAGGGCTTGCTCAGCGTGGACAGTGAGAGAGCATGAGCTTGAGAAAGGTTCTCATGGAGGCGACGGAGGTCACGTGGAAAGGGAGGGCATTCTAGCAAAACCCAGTGTGACACAGGCACCAAGGCCATGAGCGCGAATGGCAAGTGGCGCGCCTGCAGCAGCTTTGTTTGCTCAATACAGTGAACGAGAATGAAAGAAATCGAAGAGATGAGGTTAAAAAAAGAAGGCTGGCATCGTTATCACAGGTGGCCTTGGATACCACGCTCCCTTCCCGAAGTCTCTGAACGAGGGAGGGGTGTATCATCTGTCGATGGCACCGCCACAGGCAATACGAACACACAACAAAGTGAGCAGAGACTGCACAACGCTGTGTGGTGTCTTCTTGTTAAGAACACATCTCCATTTTCTACTGTTGTAGAAAAACACACACATTTCAGGCTCCCGCCATCCTCCCGTCAGCAATAGTCAGAGTAGTTCAACCGCAAGAACCCAAGCAGGAAAGAGGAGAGGTTCAACCAGGACACAGAAGCAGCTACAGGGGCTGAGACAGTTGGAGCAGACGGCTCGCAGGGAGACTGGACTCGTTCATCCCCAGGGGACAGAGAAGCCACCGCAGAAACAAGCAGGCAAGTGTGGAGGTAGGCCTGACTCCTCAAGCTTGCGACAGGTCAGTGCCTGCAGTACCCTGGGGACAGCCAGGAGGCAGAGTCAGCCAGAGAGGTGGGAAATGCCAGAATTAGGAGTGTGTTACCAAAAAAAGATAAGTCACACGAAGGGCAACCCTTAAAAGTCAAAGGTATGTTATGTTAAGAGACGGGAAAGGTAGGGATCAAAGCAGAAATGTCAGAAGAGACCAAAACGAGCTAAGAGAACTGCTCGACCTAGGCCCTGTGTCCATGTCTGAACTGTGTCTACATCAGGGGTCAGCACACTTCTCCTGGAAAGGATGAGACGGCAAATATAAACACAAAGGGTTACGGTCCAGTAAGCCCATAGTTAAGGATGGTGCAGTTTCAACTTCATGTAACTTTCATGTATTATTTTCCTTTGATTTTTCACCCATTTTTTTAAAAAAGGGTACAATCCTGCCTTAGCTCACAGGTGATATAAACACAGGCACTGGTGGGCCGCTTGGCTCCAAGTCCACCTTGCCAGTCCACTTGGCTCCAAGTCAGAGCCAGCAACAGGATAAGAGAACCGGATTAGCTGTCCTTTTCCAATCTTCTGAGAGAGGGTGGTTTTCCCTTTCAATAAACTGATAACTCAGCAGACACTCATTAAATTTGAATAATTTTCTTAAATTTGACTCCCCTGAGCGATAACTACCTATGCTGATGGTCATCCCTATTGATTAAGAATACTGTCCTCCACCAAAAAAAAAAAAAAAAAAAAGGTGCTGAGCGAATGAATTATACTGCGCTGCAAACACACTAGTGAGAAACAGTCCTTGAGAATCTGCCCCTCATTGCTTTCAAACTCTTGGTTTTCTTTAGTGATGTTATAATCTGAAAATGAGGACATTCAACAGGAGTCCACACAGAAATACCTAGATGTGAAAACTAAGAACAGCCATATCGAATAAGTGAATCGAGAATAATTAGGGGAAAAACAAGTAATGAGGGTCAAAGTGAGACAAGCGGTCTTCATCACCCATGACAAGGAGGGAGAGGAGGGGGAATTTCCCACCCCAAGCCACTCCTCGACCCCAGCAGCTCACGGGCAGGGCAGCTCCCTCCTCCAAAGCAGGCTGCGGCGCTGAGCTGTGACCCAGGAAAGCGGTAGTGCTGAACGAAAGTGGAACATCGCCCACAAGGCTCAAGTCTTTCATTACTAGAGGACTAATTTCAAGTTGTCTGGTTTCCAGCAGACAAAACACAAAGGGGGATTATTAAAGATACAAGCTAAGCTGTTCAGGGAGGGCCCATGAGAAGAAAAGCAGTCTAACTTAGCCCTGTGACAGCCAGAACCAAGATGTTAGCATTAGAACCTTTGTCTGCCAGTCACCTGAGAGCAGAAATGTCCCCACGTCCGACTTATCCAAGGTTGCCAGTGAGCCAAGCACAATGGCCTCGGGCTGACCACTTCAAACTTGAGTTAGCACCCTACACCTCCAAAACAGGTACCTAAAATGCAAATATTCTGCAGGTATTACTTTCAGAAGATTCTAATTTGGATATAACTTTTGCCGGGTTTTCTAATCCAACAGGCTAGAGTGAAGAGAAACAGAAGATTTTTCAGCTCACAATCAGAAAACCTACTCACTGTTTTCTGTTTTAGGGACTGCCATATCACTACACTTGTATTTTTAAATTTGTAAAACCCAGATGATAAATTTAACTCAGATTACATTAAAAAAAAAAAAAAAAACCGAAATTCTGCCTTCCTGTTTCAAGCAACTATTTTAAAAATACAAAATAATCTCCTTTTCAATGGAATTTAAAATAAATGAATGGTACAGAAATATCTTGTGGGATCTGTCTTAATGAGATAGAACTTAAGACTTGTAAAGTATCTGCTCTTTCATTCCCATTAGAAAGACATACACAATATGACACGTTACCGGTAATTTATTGTACACACATGTATTCATTTAGCAATTTAGTTACTATTTAAACCATTAAATTCTTTGTGTCAAAATCCTAGAGTAGCAATGATAAAACTTCAGGAAGAAAAACTTTCTCAGGGCCTTCACAACTTTCTATGCCAACTCAATTATCCTCTGGGCAAATGTAGTAAGACACGATAATTAAAATGTTCCTAAAACTAAGTGACCAAAGACAATAAATGCCCTATGCACAGCTCTTTTTCACCTCAAAATTCTTTTTCCGAAATTCATCCCATACAAAGTTTATACAGCGTTTCTGAGACTCCTCTGCTGTTCACAGATGGACAATTCAGTCTAGCCCTCACCTAACTGATGTCTAAGAGCAATCATTAACATCGAATTTTAAAGTGAAATCAAAGGTCATCAGGCATTTTCTCAGGTACTTGAAAAGGACCAGACCTCAGAAATCAGCTAAACCTCACCCACTGCGTGCTGGGCCATCCTGGATCTCCCTGGGCCTCCCCACTGCAAAGGGCAGGGCGGCATGGGTGGAGAGAGCACTCACTATCATTCTGGCAATGGTTTTTCCACTGTTAAAGTTCTTCCAGAAACTGAACGGAGACTACCAGAGGCCGGCAGCGGGGGCCTTCCCCACAGCTGCTGCCTGCACGTCATGGCCTCGTCAATGCTGAGACACTGTGTGGCAAGACTTTCAAAATCTTTTTATTCTGGAGGCTCTCCTACAACGTGGCCTAAGACTGGTCCAAGAACTCCCTTTTCAAATGGCACAGTCACCATCTTTTAAGGCCTGGTTTCACCACATCCACTACTGTGTTCATTTTCAGGGTTTAACCACACTCTTTACCCACCTTCCATGCTAAATCAAAAGCAGGGGGCAAACAGAAGACAACCTTTTTATATGAACACACTAAAATTAAATGCAAGTTAAACAGCACCTTAAGATGAATGGGTCTTCTTGGGACGACTGGTGTCTACAAACACGCACTCCTGAAGGTGCAGCGTAAGCAGCTCATCATTAGCTCCCAAATGCAAGCTGCAAGGGCAGCACCGCAGCCCACAGCTGATCAGGACTCTCAGCCACACCTGAGCCTCACCTGAGCCTCACACCTGAGCCTCACTAGCACTCCCACCCTGACCATGCAGGGCGTGGGCTCCTGCAGCAACTGCGAGGGCCCCAGCACAGCACCTGCAGGTCAGTGAGAGAACTCTCCTTTGGCATTTTAAGGATGGGGTGAAAGGAAATGGAACTGCTGGGGGAAGGGGGGGATGGGGGAGGGGAGAACACCACTCTGGAGAGGAATGCTCTTAGGTTTAGGGCATGCCACAAAGAAACAAGATGGGAGAACAGCTCTGGGCACCCAAGAAAGGGCTGGAAAAACTAGTCTCTGAAAATCCATGTTCACACCTGTTTTTTTAACATAACAAAAAAACGGTCTCAAGTCCACTTCCAAGACATGTAAATGAAGGGGAGTAGGAGCTAAGTCTCCATCATGTTAAAGGATACAGTGTTGAGGACACATTGCAGAATCTTGAAAAATATGCAACCTGGGAACAGTGAGAACAGGCTCCTTGCAGAACCACAAACCTGCAGATCAGAACGGAGGCTTCCCAGGGCCGGGCCTGCAGGGTGCAGAGCTCACAGTGAGGCCGGTGTCAATCTTTTCATTTCATGTCCCCCCAAGGACTAATCATGTGTTAGAAACCAAGGCACTTCCTCTGAAAGCCAGTAAATCCATAAAATCTTACTCCGGTGACACATCCATAACCTACTAAAAACTTTCATCAACAAAAACCCGTATCGTTCCTGAATCTTCATTTTGGTCAAGGATCTCTTCAACAGAACTTCGCTATTGTCACAAGGTTCTAGCTCCTCTTCCAGGGAGCCCATCTGCACGACCTGCTAAGAGGCCTGTCCCGGGCACTTGCGTCAGGATTTCAAGGCAAGTGTTTTCACTCAACTGCACTAGGTGGCTTAGCTCCCCACCCAAAGATTGTGAATCCTGGCCGTTACTGGATACAAAAAGATATAAAATAAAGGAAAATACATTCAACTAATAAAGGTGCAGCCGGGTTAAGACAGAAGAGTCCAGTTTTCATTGCAGTTCGTGGAATGAATAAATCATCAGCCTATAAGCTGACTACCTAGTGCTCACCTGTGTCCTCCCTTAAACAAGTACAACAGGGAATTTCATCGGCTGCACTTCACAGGGTCTGCGCTATCTCCTAAAAAGCACAGGCTAAAGGGAGGGTTTAGGTAATTTCCACTTAAGAAGTGTTTGCTGGGTGGCCCCAGTGTTTCCTTTATGATGTTTGGGGTATTTTTTCTTTCTCATCCTCCCGTCCTCTCTAAGCAGCACTGGTGGAGGAGGGCCAAGCCAGGGAGGAAAACTCAAGGGCCTGAACAATACGCTCTTTCCCCAAATTTCTGGAGCACAAACTTGGGGCGCACGGGCACAGGCCCTGGGGTCCCTTCCCAGGTCTCAGCGTGCACAGCAAGTGGCCATCTCCTAGCGCCGTGGACCTAAGTTTTCCACGGCGCCTGTACCTCGGTCCTAGGCTTGAAAGTTCCAGCAAACTTCCTAACAGCTACTCCTCGAAATGGACCTGAAGCAGGAGTCACCTAAAACGTGCCCAGGTCTGTGGAGCCGCAGGCAGGGAGCTGGGCTTCCAAAGTCCAGCTCTAGCACAATTGCTATTGTTTTTTTTTTTTTATTATACCTGGAAAAAAAAAAAAAACAGACAGACAGACAGGAGAGGCAGACCCCGCACGCGGCGAGCTCCGGGCGGAACCGGGCCGGGGCAGAACCGGGCCGGGCGACGGCCGGGCGCGCGGCCCCGACCCCGAGGGGCCGAGACAGCCGCCTCCGGGCCGGCCGGGGCGCCGCGGGGCGCCCTCCCGCCCGCACCCCGGCCCCGGCGCAAAGTTTCTTCCGGAGGCGCAGGGGGGCGCCCGGGGGCGCGGGGCCGACCGGTGCGCCGAGGCCGGAGCCGCAGAGCCGTCCCGCCCGCCCGCGCCGCCGCGGGTCTCCGCGCGGGGGGCGGCGACGCGGTCCGGGGGGCGGCGGCGGGGCCGGCCACGGCTCGGGGGGCGCGGGCGCGTCCCCCCGCCCTCCCCGGGGACCCCCGGCCCCGCCCGCGTGCGAGGTACACCCTCCCCGCCGCGCCCCGGCACCCCGCCCGCGGCCGCCCCGCGCGCCCCTCGGCGCGGACGCCCGCGGCCCCGCTCCCTGGGGGCGCCGGGGGCGGGGGCGCCGGGGGCCGGGGCGCCGGGGCGCGGGGGGCGGCGGCCTAGCGGCGGCGGGGCACCCGCGCCCCGAGGCGGCCCGCGGGGAAGGTCACTTACCCGCTGCATGGCCTTCAGGATCAGCGCCAGCTCGTAGCGGGGCATGGCGCGGGGGGCGCGGGGCGCGGGGGGCGCGGGGCGCAGGCGGGCGCGGGGCGCAGGCGGCGGGGAGCACGCTGCGGCCCGCGAGCCCGGGCTTAAAGGCGCAGGCAGCTGCGCAGACCGCCCGCCACGCCCCCGCCCCGCCCCCGCGGCGCGCCCTTGGCCCCGACCCGCGCGCCACGCCCCTCGCCCCGCCCCCGCCCGGCACGCCCCCCGCGCGCCACGCCCCTCCTTAAGGCGGCCGCGCCCCTCCACAGCCCCGCGCGCCGCGCGCGGGGACCCCCGGGCTGGGCCGCCCAGGGTGGGGGCGGCGCCCCGGCTCGGCCAGCCGCCGCCCGCGACGCGCCCGCCCCCGCCCCTCCCCGCCCCTCCGCGCCCGCCCGCCCGCCCGCCGCGCGGGCTACCTACGGCTCTCGAACCAGCTGGAATTTTCCAGGCCTTCCGCCGCGGCCCGGGCGGCGGGCGGGCCTGCGCCCCGAGTGCGCGTGCGCCGCGCGGTGGCCGAGGCCGGGCGCGCGCCCCTCGCCGCCGGCCCCCGTCCCCGCGCTGGCGCTCCGCGCCCCGCCGCCTGGACCCCCGGCCCGCGCCCCGCCACCCCGCGGCCGCAGCGCCGCTCCGGCGACCCCTTCCCGCGAGACGGCGCCCGCCGCGGTGCTGGGCGCGGCCCGGGGCTGCGTGACCTTGGGCGGCCGCCGGCGCGCGGGGCGCGGGAGGGGCGCGGGGGCAGCGCCCCCCGCCGCGGGGCCCTGGGGCGTCGGCGCGGGTCCCCCCGGCCAGGGGCCGCGCGGGCGTGCGGCGCGAGCGGGCGGGCCACGTGCTCCGGCGAGGCCAGGCCGGGGTGCAGCCGAACCCACACTCCGTGACCGCTGCCCGGCGCGCCCCCGGAGCACCGGCCCTGACCCCGAACAGCCGTCTGGGACGCGGCCGTCTGGGGTTCTGGGTGGGAGGGTGGCCCTATTCTGCACCCCCAAACACGCACAGGGGCTCCCCGCTCCCCCCACGCTACCCCGCTGCGCTGTCCGGGCTGGGGGTGCGCTGGACGCCCCGGGTCGCTCCCCGGAGAGCCCTCGGCGCCCCCGCCCTGCGCACCCCTCGAAGGCTCTGGAAGTGACGTGTTTGTCAACCTGTGGAGTGCCCTGCCCGGGAGGGGAGGTTTATTGAGCACTTACTGTGGGTCGGCACCGCGCTGAGGTGCTGCCATGTGTCTCATAAAATTTTCACTGCAGCCAGCAGGTAATTTTATTGACTTCGCTGGAGAGATTCAGACACACGGGCACGTGAAGGCGCTGGAACTAGCAGCGCATTAGGCATAGCCTTGGAGACAAAATTTAGACCCAGGCTGTCCTGAAGGTCGAGCCCAGACTCCTAGTCTCGGCTCCGGTTCCCCACCACAGATGAGGGGGCTGATACTAGTCTGGAATTGTTAGGGGGAAAGGATGTCCTGAGCTAATCCCATGCAGGCTTGGTGGACCCCACCCCCACTCCAGACCAAAGCCATCAGGACATTGGGAAAGACAAATCCCGTCGCCACCAAAGGGAGGGTGGCTGGGACCTCAGGGTGGAGTTGGGCAGCCAGGTTGGGTATAAAAACCAAACACGTGGGCCTTAGGGTGGCTCACTGTCGCTCGCCTCCTGGCTTCACGGCTCCTGGCTCTCGGCCAGCTCTCAGGGTGCCATTTTGGGATTCCAGATTGGGGGGATCGGGTAGGACTCATTTAAAACTTTGTCTCCTACTTTTCTCCCTGAGCTGTACATTTCCTCCTTTCCCCTTCCCTTGTCAATAAACCTTTTATGAACCTTTTGCGTGTGCCTGCTGCAGTAGAGCATGGATAAGTCCTTTTAAGCACAGGTGAGGACCCACAGTCAGGCACCCCGTTTTGTATTGGGACTGCTCTACAACAGTTTTACCATGTAAACCAAGAATAAAGAGGGCCTCCCCGGAGGCGCAAGGGGTTAAGATGCAACCAATCCAGCGATCCGCAGCCGCTGTCGCTACCGGGTCAGGTAGATACCCACATGGCACAGCAGACCTCACCTGTCTCGCCCACTGCTCCCCTCAGCAGTGGATTTCAGTCAGTCTGCCTGTTCTGCTCCCCCCTCTGTATCTGGGGAATCCTCTCACCCTGTACCTCTGCCCTGTACCCCAGCTCTTGTATACATTAAAAAAAAAAAAAGAACAAAGAGTCCCTTTGTCACCTTATCCAGAGACCTTACTGTTTCTCAACTTCTACCTCCTCTCCCCCCAAAAAAGACCAGGATGACTTGAACACGTCTGCTGTGGTGGGTGAAGTTTAACATTTTCTATTCTTGGACTACTCCACAATCCATGATCTTCCAAAGAGAAACCACAGGGGTATTTGTACAAACTGCCTGGTTAGTGTAGACTAATTTCACCTTAAGTTAAAAAGAGTACGCCACTATAAATAAATAACAAGAAATTTACTCTAGAAAAGAGAGAGTAAATTCGTAGTTTTCTCACTTCAGAAGAGAGCTGCAGATTTTCCAGGAAGCCCCAGCATTAACTGTCCCTCCTGTTATCAGTCACCTGTCCCAGTTTAGGAATTACAAAAGCCGGATGCTGAGGTAAAAGGTGAAGCCAAAGACCAGGGTGATAGATAGTACGAGCTGATTTCCACTTGTAGCATTTCCTCTTGGAAGCAACCCAGTTTTTCCCTAGTACCCTTACAACTTGACAGGGGATATAAGGAAATTAGCCCAGCACACTCAGCAGGGAGAGAGAGAGAGGGCAGTTACCTGATTTTCCTGCTTCAACTCTTTTTAAGCACCACACCAGAATGCTGCTGTGTTCATTAAAAATTAATAAAGCACAAGGAATGCTTTCACATTTGGTGTTTTCCTACCAAAACTACCAAGTTAAATTCACCAAAAGGATTCTTTGAACCTTATGCTACATGTAGTCAGCATTTGGAATAATCGAACATCAGTGCAGTGCTTAATGTATTAATAAGAAAAGGATCCTCATACTTAGGAAGAAGCTTATCCAAGGAAGTCAGAGATCTGAACGTTAAAAACTATGAAACACTGATGAGAGAATTCTTTAAAAAAAATAAATAATAAATGTATACTATTTTATTCGTACGAAGTTTCAAGAAAATAATACCATTTTTTCTGGGCGTGATTCACTTCCTTATTCAATAGAAATTATAACTCATAAATATGAAATATTAATTATACACATATTAATTTATTGCAAATTCTATAATGCTCTCAATGTAGTATTCTAGACTATTCAACTGCAGTAAGTAGTAAGAACTAGAGAATTAGTATTTTTTTGTTTAAAATCAAATTTTTTTATTGTTCAGTTTTTTATTTTATTTTATATATTTTTACATCATTTTTCATTTTTGCACAATGTATGCATTTTCATCTTGGTTATATTCCCCATACAATTCCCACCCCCCCTTATTTTGGCCCTAATCCCTCCTCCCCTCTTCCCCCCACCCCCTTAGTGTGTCTCTGGTTTATAATTGCTCGTTGATTTTGATTTTTACTTTATTATAATTAGTCTTTTTCCTGGTCCCTTATTTAGGTTTTCTAGATTCCTGCTATGAGTGAGACCATCTGGTATTTTTCTTTTTCTTTCTGGCTTATTTCGCTGAGCATGATCCCTTCCAGCTCCATCCATGTTGCTGCAAACTGCATGAGTTTATCTTTTTTGATTGCTGAGTAATATTCCATGGTGTATATGTACCACATCTTCTTCATCCAGTCATCTATTTTGGGGCATTTGGGTTGTTTCCATAGTTTAGCTATTATAAATAGTGCTGCTCTAAACATAGGGGTGCAGGTGCCCTTTTGAATTAATGATTCTGTGCCCTTTGGGTAAATACCTAGGAGTGGAATTGCTGGATCATATGGAAGCTCTATTTTTAGTAGGTTGAGGAATCTCCACACAGCTCTCCATAGTGGTTGGACCAGTTTGCACTCCCACCAGCAGTGCAGGAGAGAGTTCCTTTTTCTCCACATCCTCGCCAACATTTGCTGTAGCTAGTTTTTTTAATATGTGCCATTCTCACTGGTGTAAAATGGTATCTCATTGTAGTTTTGATTAAAATATGGAATGCTTCAGGAATTTGAGTATCATCCTTGCACAGGGATGCTAATCTTCTCTGTATCATTCCAATTTTAGTATATGTGTTGCTGAAGCAAGCATGACGAGAGAATTCTTGATGAAAGAAATGGAAATCACATTCAAGGACTAGAAGAATGAATTGTTAAAATGCCTATACCACCGAAGGTGACCTACAAAGTTTAATCCTTACCAATATCTTAATGACTTTTTTTTAACAGGAATAGAAAAAAAAATCCTAATTCGTAGAGAACCACAAAAAATCCCTGAATAGGCAAAGCTATTTTGAGCAAGAAGAACAAAGCTGGAGGCATCACAGTCTTGGTTTCAGACTATCCTACAAGATACTGTAATCAAAACAGTATGGTACTGGCATAAAAGCAGACACACAGATCAATGGAATACAATAGTGAGTCCAGAAATAAACCCACACAAATGGAGTGAAGTAATTTATGACAAAGGAGCCAAGAACATACAATGGGGAAAGGGCAGTCTCTTTAATAAATGGTGTTGGGAAAACTGGACAGCCACATGCAAAAGAATGAAATTGAACCCTTGTTTTACACCACATATAAAAGTCAACTCTGAATGGATTAAAGACTTAAACATAAGGGCCTCCCTGTTGGCTCAGGGGTTAAAGTCTCAGGGTTATCAAGCTATCACCAGCCACTGCAGCATAAGTTCGATCCCAGGCCAGGGAGCTGACCCACATAATGCTCAGCAGACCCCTCCTATCTCGCCTGCTGCTCCCCTCAGCAATGTATTTCAGTAGATCCACCTGTTCTGCTCCCTCACTCTGTCTCTGATGAATCCTCTCACCCTTGCACCTCTGGCCTAGACTCCAGTTCTTATATGCATAAATAAATTTTAAAAGTCTTTAAAAAAAAAGACTTCAACATAAGACCTCAAACCATAAAAACTCCTAGAAGAAAACAGACTGAAAGCTTCTTTGATGATGATTCCTTGAATATGACACTAAGAGCACAGGCAACAGAAGTAAAAAAACAAGTGGGATACATCAGACTGAAAAGCTTCTGTACAGCAAAGGAAATAATCAGCAAAAGAAAGGGCAACCCACAGAATGGGAGAAAATATTTGAGGTTTATATTCAAAATATATAGAATTCATACAACTCAGTAACAAAATCAAACAACCAAATAACCAGATTAAAATATGGGCAAAGGAGCAGAATAGACATTTCTCCAACAAAGCGTACAAATGACCAACAGCTCCACAAAAAAAAAAGTGCCATCACTACTCATCATTTAGGAAATGCAAATCAAAACCACCATGAGATATCACTTCACACCTGATATGATAGCTGTTATCAAAAAATTAAGAGAAGTGTTGGCAAGGGAGTAAAGAAACCCTTATACACTGTTGATGGGAGCTGTTGATGTAGAAATTCATTGGGCAACAAGAAGGTGGTCCCTCAAAAAATTAAAAATACAACTACCATATCCTCCAGCATCCCTCTTCTAGTTATATATCTTAAGGAATTAAAATCAAGATCTCAAAAGATAACTGCACTCCTGTTTTCACTGCAGCACTATTCAAGGTGACCAAGACACAGAAGCAATCTAAATGTCCATTGGTGGGTAAAGAGGATGTGGTACAACGGAATATTACTCAGCCTTAAAAATGAAGGCTATCTTGTCATCCGTAACAACATGAATGAAACTGGAGAATGTAAATGAAATAAACCAGATACTGGCATCTAAAACTAATTCACAGGGGCCTCCCCAGTGGCGCAGCGGTTGAGCGCTGGGTTGCGAAGCTGCCCGCAGCCTCTGCAGCGCCGGTTCGATCCCCGGCTGCTCCCCGGCCACCGGAGGAGGGTCCCACATGGCGCGCAGACCTCTCCTGCTGCCCGCTGCTCCCCTCAGCAGTGTACTTCGGTCCTTCTGCCTGCTCTGCTCCCCGCTCTGGCTTTGGTGAATCCTCTCACCCTCCCGTGCTTCTGACTGTACCCAGTGCTTGTATAAATAAATAAATAAACAAACAAACAAAAAGAGAGTTCTCCTTTAAAAAAAAAAAGTTAAAAAAAATAAATAAAACTAATTCACAAAAGCAGAGAGTAGACTGGTGTTTGGCAGGAGCGGGGGAGCTGAGGCCCAGGAGTTATTAGCCAAGGAGCACAAAGTTTCAGTTACATAAGAAAAAGTGTGTAACTTAGAGTCCCCAAAACATTTACTATGGTATATTTTAGATAGACTGACCAAAAACTCTTCATTCATTTTCAAGTAAGTATCCATGAAAGTTCATAGGAAAGAAAAGGGAAAAAAATTGAAACCTGGTCCTATTTCAAAAAAATAACTTCAGTGTACGCCTTTGGTCAGCTTAATTTTATATTGACCTTACTTTATATTGCTGTGTAATGATGACCTTGAGCTCACACAAGATCGGCCATTCTCAAAGATAGTTGTCATTTTTTTGTTACCAAAGCTAATATTTGCACACCATGTGGGCCAGGAGCTGTTCTAGGTGCTTTGTATGTAATCGTGATCAGGTCTCACTTCCTGCACTTTACAGATGCAGAAAATAAATTGTCCACTAACTTGCCCCAAATCCTACAGAACTTGGAGCCTGCACACTTAGCCTCAATACCACACAGCACTTCCATGTCCAGGAGCAATGACAACTGAGCAACTATCAGTCCGTCAACGAATTTTATTGAGGCCCTACTGTGTGCGCCGCACTTTGTGACTACAGTCTCCCACTCCTGCAACCCAAGCAACTGAGCCTTCCTTGAGTGCCCAAACTGTCCCTTGTCACAAGCCTCCTCCTTCCAGCATGTACAGGTATCTTCTAGCTAAAAAAAGCCTTACCTCCACCCTGTGGTCCTCTCAAGTTGTCATTCTTCTCATAGCCACATTTCTCCAAGTGTCCCACCCAGTGGCATCTCTTCCCAGCCTTTGCTATTTGTGTTCCCCAACATCCTCGGCCCTGGTCTCCTGATCACCTGCCAACTGGTTGTTTCCCAGGCACCATTGCCAGGTACCCCCCGCAGTCTAAGGAGCTCCCTTTGACACCCATGTCCCTGCACTCTTGGGTCTCTCCTTTGCCTACTTGGTCCCCTTTTTCCTTGTCCCCTTCCTGTCCCTGGACATGACTGTTGTTTAAACAAAGAAGAGTCCCAGCAGCAAGATTTTGAGACAGGACTTTCATATCTTGGAGGTTCCTGTCATCCAAGCACATTGGAGATTGACTCCCAGGTCCTTTAAATGGGTCTTCAAAGTCTCCAGGACCCCCAGTTTACTGTAACAGCACAAGGGCAAGTGAGAAGTGTATAAAATGACTCCCAGCCTGCAGATAAGGCATATGATAAGGAAGCCAGGGAAATTTTATCCCAGGCCATCCAGTGCAGGGCTGGACAATACAGAGGGAAACCTCTCCTATCCATGAACCTCATGCTGTGATGCTGCTTTTACTAAGGCTTTTATTAAGGAATCAACCTGCAGTGAGCGCCATCCTCTGGTGTTCTAAAAGTTGACTTCTAAATATCGCTGGCACACAGTAAGGTTAACACAAATCATCATACTGCGCATGTGGCCTCATATCTCCAAATACAACCCCAGAAAGTGAGGAAACATGACCTGGTTTGCCTGTGGGAATCTTGCCTCACTGGTTGAGCTGTGGGTCCTCCCGCTCATGAGCCTATCACCTTCTCCCTGATGAAAGCCAGTCTCCCTTTCTGGCCAACATGCACTCCACTGCATCCTCACTTCACGAAGACCTGGGATTACTCATAACCTGCAATTCCAAGGCCTGGAATTGCTCCCAGGGCTGGGCCTGTGCAATCCTCTTTCTCTGGCTGCTCAGTGTGTATCTTCGTTCCCCAGCCTGTGGCTCAGATCCAAGTCACAACATTACAAACTGCTTTGCAGCAACCTCATAGGGCTTTCCTGACCTCCTGGCCCCTAGTCTGCTGTCCACAGACTTGTAGGCCCATTGGCCATGCTGATGGGCCTTGACCCCTTTGTCTGCTCAGTGAAACTCTAGGAAAGACCCTGGCTGGTTTTCACTCGGTCACCCAGTCACCTTGTGCTATGGGCTTGTGCCTCTCAGAATGACACTCACATGGAATGTGGGCAGTCAGGTCAGGCATTTGGGGAGCTCTGGAAACATTTTCCCCTTTTTAATCCTCCAATCTCCAAATTGTTTCTGATTTCAGTCAACAAAGTAAGATTTGGGGGAGAGTGAGAAAATAAATGTGGAATCCACTTAAAAGAAATAAAAAAGATAAAACAAAGCCTGCCTCATTGGACTGCTCTCTCTCTGTCTTCCCACTCACCCTCCCCTGCTAAAAAAAAGATGGCATATTTATGGGCAACCTTCTCCTCGCCACATATCCTTTTAAGGAAAGAAGTGTCAGCTATACTTTTTTACCTTTGTGGCTTTAAAAAGACAAAATACAGGGCCTCCCTGGTGGCACAGGGGGTCAAGTCTCAGCACTATGAAGTTTTCTGCAGCCACTGCAGCCTGAGATCAATCCCCAGGCAGGAAGTTGACCCACATGGCGCAGCAGACCTCTCCTGTCTCCCTGCTGCTCCCCTCGGCAGTGTATTTCAGTAGATCTGCCTGTTCTGCTCCCCACTGTCTCTGGTGAATTCTCTCACTGTCCCCCACCCCCGCATCTCTGGCTTACACCCAGTTTTTGTATGCATAAAATAAATAAAAATAAATCTATAAAAAAAGGCAAAATACTTCCTGCATTTCCACTTATTGAAGGAGTTCGTTTTTCTTTGTTTATAACTTTCTGATCCAATGCCCCTGACAGACTACGGCTGCCCACCCAATGCTCAGTGTTGGTGACGGTGGTGGTGGGAGACGGCAGCTCCACACGCAGATGGGCTTTAGATGTGATCTGAGGAAGAAAGCTCTGAGCTGGGGAGAGTTGCAGGCGATGAAACGCATCTGCAGGCTCTTCAGCTAATCAGAGGCACAGGCCAAATCAACAAAATCTCCAAGGGGGGGTCCCTCAGTTGGAAACCTGAGAGGTCTGGGCCAGGTCCACTCAGCACTAGAGTCTGAAGGCTGGAGGGCAAAGGACACGTGACCAGAAGCAGTGGCCCCCGAGGG